GGCGATGACCGTGGCCGGCCCGGCCAAGGCTCTGCCAGGCTGCCTGACTGCACCATTGGCCTTCGCGGCCCGCCAGTGGCACTGCTGCCCAGTGGTCCATCCAGTCTTTTCTCGTTTATGGCGTAGTTCCAGCAGGGCAAGACGTCGTCTGGAACCCGTCACGAAGAATGCCTTTCTCGTCTCGAACCGCGCCTTCTGGTTCTCTACGTATTCCTGGTTCTCGGTTTGGTGCAGTCTTGTGCATTAAATGCCGGTTGCGTTCCTGTCCGTAGGCATCTCCCGCATATGGTTCGGGCGCCCACCAACATCATCTCGTAAGGGCTATGATCCTTGTATATGCCAAAATCGTTCATTGCGTCGGTCGCCCCCGAGAAGATCTCGACTGTCGTGACCTTGCCGCCCGACTCCGCCAATCTTGGACCTGGCCTCCTTGAGAATGCCTATGTTGCGCTCGCAGAGGGCTATCCGGTTGTAGGCTCGCATGACGGTAGCATCAAATTCGATCCCGCGATGTGATAGCCATTCCTTGGCTCTTTTCTCGGCGTGGCAGCCTTCTCCACTTAAACATAGTGCTGCACGACTCCGGTTTCGAGGGTGCACGCAGGTGACGTCTGCGTGGCCTCAGCGCTCTGCAGGAGAAGCCTTCTCCCTAGGAGGCACTGCCACTTCGCGACAATACCTGATTTCAGCTTCAACTTTTCACCCTCACATGTTGGTTATCGCTGGCTTCGCGGTCGACGCTTCAATTCGCGAGGTGCACCAAGAATATAATTTCCGCGAATCTGCGAGCTCGGGGGCTCTCTTGGGCGCCGGTTGAGCGGAATTTGCGACACATGCCATCCTCTGTGCCTGGGGGGCATGGTGTCTCGCTCATGCGGCAGCTGTTGAACGGCGAACTGACCTCGCACCGGCTCGCACCGGTGTTAGGACAGCCGATTCAACCGTGCCCTTTTTGCGGAGTTGCGCACGGCGATTGTGCAAGACACTGGGATGAGTGCGATATCTTGCTCTCCGTTCGCTGGGGCCTTTCCCCAAAGTGCGCTCAACTGACTGTTGGCCAGCTTTGGCTGCAGGAGGACGTTGGCAGCGGAGGGGTGTTGCAGGGCGTCCTTGCGTACGCGAGCGCGGTGGTGAGACTTCGCAGGCTCTTGCTCCAACCCTGCGTGGCTTTCTACAACCTCGAAGATATGATACGCCACGCCCGATGCCTGAGCGAGAACCCGTGGATTACTGGGTCCCCGGCTGAGAGCTCGCGCGCCGAGCGGCGTGCCCTGCGCGCGAAAACCCTTCATTTACGCTGAAGGGTGGGTCGTCTACGCGTCGGACGGAGCGAGCTGGCGCCAGGGCGCGGCGGAGGCGAGTTCATCTTGATGTGGTTGTGTTCGTTATGCCGAAGGCTGGCGGCGGGTCGTGGCTCCCCGCGGTGCTCAACTTGGCCACGTCAGAAACAATGTTGCGGAATGCGCGGGTTTGTTGGAAAATCTTCAGCATGCGCTTCTGTACCCTGCCGAGCAAATGCGGTTTCATGCCGATTCGTTGTTGCTTGCTCGTCAGGTCAATTGCCAGTAGCGGTGTCGTGCGCCATCGCTGCGGCCGCTCCTTGAGACAACCCTTCGGGAGAGCTGCGCCGCTTCCCTGCTGTGCGCGCGTGTGAGGTCATTCACGTTTACCGAGAATTTAACGTTGATGCCGACGCCGTGTGCAACACTGTTTTGGATATGGTCGCCGACGGAATTGCGCCAGAGCGCACGGGCGTCCATGTTTCGCACAATTGGGAACCCTTTGTTCTCTCCGGCGCTGGATCTAGATGGAAGTCGGTGCCAACACCGGACCAAAACCACAGCGATTCGTCCGATGTTCTGCCGAACCGCCTTGCTTCTTCCCGCCCCCTGGCTGACTGCCCATTCGTGCTCATGGTATGATAGGCCGCGGGCCAGCTTTACGTCCCGCAAGGCGATCGGTTGCGAGCCCCGCGAACGCGCTCGCACATCTTCTTATTATTCAGATTTCTCATGTTGCAAGCGCAGCGGCTCCCTGTTCTAATGGATCATCCGTGTGCACATACCGGTATTCGCCTGTCTCTACCATTTTCTCATCCTCGTTATCATTACAGTATTCCCTCCGTCCCTTTCTCTTCTGTAGACACAAGCACTGTCTGGATCACTTCAGGCATACAACTTTTCCTTCTGACCCTTGGACATGTTCACAACCTCCAAAAGACATTCCGTGACATGTCATCCTGCTCTTGCAACGTCATTGTGCCAAGAAGTTATCTGAGTTCTCAATCATGGGATGAGGGGTTGTGGAAGAGCAGGAAATAAAAACATGAAAAACAACACATAATAATAGCTCGCTTCGCGAACCTGTTCCTGATTCAATGCAGCTTGGTCGGAGCTTTGGTCAAAATATTTCCCCCGGTGTAGTTTCTATTGTAGGCTGGCCCCTCCGATCCACGCCCTCTGCCAATCAAACTCCCATCGCTGCTGGCGTTGTGGTTCGAGGGCGTCCTTAGATCCAAATAAGGCTACCAGGCCCCGCCGTCTTGACGACCAGCGTGCTGAAGCACGCTACAGTAGTCTCAGCACACTCAGCGGCTAGCGATATCACGATATCAGAATTAGGACTGGCGAGCTCAGAGGAAAGGTCATTATCATACCGACTTCTACGACGAGGCTACCGCCATCTCCGAGACAATCACGGGTGGGGGGTGGGGGGACGAGGTCGCCAGCGCATCTGGGGGCCTCCAGAACCTCCGTTTCTACACTCCGTGGCCTCCAAAATGCCAAAGATTTCATCTAAGCTTGCTCAAGCTGGGCACGAACACGTCAGAGGCCAAGATATCATCAACACGGCCAAAGTCGCTTCCATGACGTCCCCAGAACGCTCCAAGAGGATCCCCAAGAGGGCCCCAATATATCAACATCTCACCAATTCCGAGAGGAACATATAGTTAGTATACACATCCACACTCTTGGTGCTAGAAGCGCTCAAAGCGGCTCAATGGGGCCTCCAATATCGCTCCAGGACGGCATAAGAGTTCCCTCAGAGGGCCTCGAGACGGCACAGGAGAGCCCAGTAACGACCCCAGAGACGTCCAAGACGGCCCAAGTAGGCTCCAAAACAGCTTCAAGAGGGGCCAATGTCGGGCCTTCCGCCCCAGCAGGACCCGACAAAGCAAGCACCCAACAGGCCCTCCAGAGGCTTCAAGAGGCGCACAAGAGGCCGCACAAATGCCCAATAGGCCGTTCAAGCGATTCCCAAGAGGCAACGCGCTTCACCCGTAGACTCCGATTCTCCTCTGGGGGTCGGCGGAATGGCACAAGCTACTTCAATCAACCCAAGGTCCATCAGCGGTCCTGAAATTCGCCGTCCCCGTCCTAAGTCTCCTCCCGAGAAACCCTACGACTGGTTCGCTACGGGATGCGCCCCTCTCGAAAGACGATCGCCCCACGGGCGTGCCATTCAGGGGAGGGCCCCGTGTTGTAAATCAACTGGCCTGTACACTGACGGCCATAAGGAATGCGAAGAATAAGAATGTAAAATACGCGAGAATGTCCAGCGAACTCACCGTTTCGATGTCCACTTGCGCTGAAAATGTGCCAAACTGTGGTTCACTTGTGCACTTCTGGCCATATTGTTTTAGGTTCCAAGAAAACGCGAATTTGAAACAGAACCCGCCCTCAATTCGTGCAACGGCGGTACAGCCTTACACGCACGTTGGAATTGCATGAGGGAGTATTAAGCGAGAGCTTCATCTTGAAAAGGAAACGCGCTACAGCTTACCGCTGCTGGAAGCATTTACGACGACTGTGTGCGGCGCTGGAGCCAGAAAACAACATTCTGACAACGAGCCGCCCCCCTCCATCCGTGTAGCTGATGAGAATGTGTACGACGAATGCGCGCGTTGACGAAGTGAAAGCCGGATTTTGATGATGACCCATCTTCCATCCTTGTAGCTGTTCTGTTTTCGCGACTGCGCGCGGCCTTGAGACTGGAGCCATCTTGCACGCGACGCGACCTGCATGCACGCAAGTGTTTGACATTCCGAGGTCTAGGGCCATCAGTGGTGAGGCAGTCTCGGGCAAAACGCCTGGACCTACCTACCGGCACGCCCGGAGGAGCGACAAGGAGAACTCATCTGTTCGGAAAGGAGGGGCGGACCTGGAGAAGGGGGCTGAGATGGAGACTGGGGCGCCAAAGCGGCCAAGACGAGGTGGCTAGCTTCACTGTGGACTCCGCGCAGCAGAGCGGTGGTCGCAGGGCTGCTCGGCAGGTTCCTACCTGGACGACGCGTGCCCCTGCTTTCTGTCACTGCGTGCGCGGTTCAATCTTGAATGGTCTCTGCTCTTGGAGTTCCCCGAGGTCTCCCGACCCCGACATTCGCACGGCATACGTGCCGCGTCTTGTATTTTTCTCTGGACCCCAGAGAACGAAAAGGATGTTAAAGGTTGAGCCCCCGCGCAGGCGTCGCCGCCGGCGTCGCCGCGTCGAAGCGGCACGAACCTGCCGCAGCTAGGTGTGTCGAGATCCAACTTCGCCTTCCAGATCTTGCTGAAATGCGACGCTGCGTGTCACCGTTGCGTACCATTCTCGCACGTGCTGGTCGCAGCGCTGCAGCTGCCAGCGTTGGGCTTCGACACCGCCTCTGACATATCGCCGAACAGCGACAGTGCCTACTGCCACCGTTTGCCTTCCTCACACGCGCGCTGATTCCAACGATGCGCCTGGTGATACCCAGCGCCACTTTCACCTCCCACATCTCGATGCGCAGCGAAGGCGCCGGCTGCCGCTGCTCATATTGTGTCTCTCTTTCTCTCTCTCTCTCTCTCACGCGCGTGGACCAAATCCAGTGCTGCATCTGATGACGTCGGACTCCACCTTCGTCCTCCAAGACATCTCCCTGAGCGGGGACAATCCCAGTTTAGACTTCTTGCTCTTCTCACACGCGCAGACCACAAATTACGCGCATGGGGTTGACAATATGCTAGCCCACTCGCATCTTACCCACTGTCGCCGCCCGCCGTTCTCCCGTGAGCTGGTCCCATCGCTGTGGCTGGTGACGGCGGACTCCATCTTCGCCACGTCGCTTCAGACACTCCGTTGAGAAGTGACAAGGCGCGTTGCCACTGCGTGCCTTTCTCGCACGCGCTGACTCCAATATTGTAGCTGATGGCGGTGGGCTTCAATATCTTGTCTCGCATTTCGCTGAGCAGCGACAGTGCATGCTGCCACTGCTCGCCTCTGTAGCACGCGGTGATCCCAGCGTTGTAGGTGATGATATCCGGATCCACCGTTGCGCCCCGCATATCGCTGAACAACGACAAGGCCGGTTGCCACTGTTTGCTTTTCTCACACGCGCTGATCCCAGCGTTGTAGATGACTAGGGCTGACCCGCGGCCTTCCGGCCGCGGAATCTGCCCGCCATGGCGTGGACGTGGAAATGGGGCGTCTCTGGGGCCTCGCGGGTAAGGACAGGGTGGGGGGGACGGCGTGGAATGAGGTGGCCGCTGGCTGGAGGTAGAGGCGAGCGGGGGATGCAGGCAAGCAGGCCTGAAGGCAGGAACGCGGTGGTGGAGGCGGTGCCAGTGGAAGCACACCCATGTAGGCATGACATGGTGTGGACAGAAGCTGTTGCTGACGCCGCAGTTTGTGTTCATCATAGTTTCTGCGGGGAGGGTCGCCGTGGGAAGTTATCTGCTTTTCGCCGGAGCCGCATGAAGATTGGATCTGGTAGTCTGGTGACATTGGGGCCAGTGCCTGTGCCTGGGTAGTGGCTCAGAGGCCTCTGGGGTCCCTCTTGGAAGCAGCTCTGGGGCCTCTTGGGGGCCGTCTTGGGGCCTCGTAGGGCTTGCTTTGGGCTTCCTCTTGGCGTTCCCTTGGGGAGGTCTTGGGGCCTTGTCTGGGCGTATGCGGGCCCATGGCTCGGAATGTCAGGGTTTTTCCCTGTTCTTTGGCCCCCTCTTGTTTGGAAGCCCGAAATGGGTACGGAAAGAATGGGTACAATGCCCAACAACAAATGTTGTCCCAAACTAACAGCGGCCACTGTTGGGCAGGCGGCCTTCTGTCTCAAATGTACACAGGCCGCGGCGACACCGACAGGGAGTCCTGCTCAAAATGCACAGGAGCCGCTGTTGGGCATTGTAACCATTCTTTCCGTACCCATTTCGTTTGTGCCCCTCTTGGGCCTGGCTTGGGGTCCTCTGGGGCCATCTTGGGCGCCTCTTGGGCCATCTTGGGGCTCCCTGGGCCGTCTGGGGAAGCGCTTGGAGGCATGTTGGGCCGTCCTGGGGCGGTCTTGTGGGTCCCGTCGGCCGTCTTGGAGCGTCGGCTAGCCGAGAAGGCGAGAAGGCGAAACTCCTTCAAAAACAATTGAACACTTATGGATTTTGGTCTGGGGGCTTGCTTCGGAGGACTGTGGGAGGCTCTTGGAGGCCCCTTGGGCCTTGTTGGATGCCTCTAGGGGGCCTCTTGGGCGCTCCTTGGAGCCTCTTATGGCCACTTCGGCGTGTCTTTGGGCGGAGGGCTCGAGTTGTGACGCTCGCGGGCCAGGATCTGTGTGAGGGGTGTCGAACAATGGCCCTCCAAGGGGCGCGTTTGTCCACATGCGCTGGGGCTCCCTGGGCCGTCTGGGGAAGCGCTGGGAGGCCTGTGGGCCGTCATGGGGCGGTCTTGCGAGTCTCTTCGACCGTCTTGGAGCGTCGGCTAGCCGAGAAGGCGCGAAGGCAAAACTCCTTCAAAAACCATTGAGAAATGAAGGATTGTGGCCTCTGTGGGCATGCTTCGGAGGACCGTGGGAAGCTCTTGGAGGCCTCTTGGGCCGGGTTGGGGGCCTCTAGGGGGCCTCTTGGGCGCTCCTTGGAGACTCTGATTGCCACTTCAGCGCGACTTTGGGCGGAGGGCTCCATTTGTGACGCTCGCGGGCCAGGATCTGTGTGAGGGGTGTCGAACAATGGCCCTCCAGGGGGCGCGTTTATCCACATGCGCTGGGGCTCCCTGGGCCGTCTGGGGTCGCGCTTGGAGGCCTGTTGTGCCATCCTGGGGCGGTCTTTCTCTTCGACCGTCTTGGAGCGTCGGCTAGCCGAGAAGGCGAGACGGCAAAACTCCATCAACAACAATTGAAACATTAAGGATGTTGGCCTCTGGGGGCATGCTTCGGAGGACTGTGGGAGGCTCTTGGAAGCCTCTTGGGCCTTGTTTGGGGCCTCTAGGGGGCCTCTTGGGCGCTCCTAGGAGACTTCTTATAACTTCTTCGGCGCGTCTTTGGGCGGAGGGCTCGAGTTGTGATGCTCGGGGGCCAGGATCTGCGTGAGTGGTGTCGAAAAATTGCCCTCCAGGGGGCGCATTTTTCCACATGCGCTGGGGCTCCCTGGGCCGTCTGGGGTCGCGCTTGGAGGCCTGTTGTGCCATCCTGGGGCGGTCTTTCTCTTCGACCGTCTTGGAGCGTCGGTCAGCCGAGAAGGCGAGACGGCAAAACTCCATCAACAACATTGAAACATTAAGGATGTTGGCCTCTGGGGGCATGCTTCGGAGGACTCTTGGATGCTCTTGGAGACCTCTTGGGCCTTGTTGAGGGCCTCTAGGGGGCCTCTTGAACGCTCCGTGGAGCCTCTTATGGGGCCACTTGGGGGCCGTCTTGCGGCCTCGTGGGGCTTGCTTTGGGCTTCGTTGGGGCCTCTGGGGACCTCTTGGCGTTCCCTTGGGGGGGTCTTGGGGCCCTTTGTGGGCGTATGAGGGCCCAAGGCTCGGAGTGTCAGGGTTTTTCCCCGTTCTTGAGCCCCCTAATGGCCTGGCTTGGGGTCCTCTGGGGCCGGGCTTGGGCGCCTCTTGGGCCATCTTGGGGCTCCCTGGGCCGTCTGGGGACGCGCTTGGAGGCCTGGTGGGCCGTCCTGGGGCGGTCTTGTGGGTCCCGTCGGCCGTCTTGGAGCGTCGGCTAGCCGAGAAGGCGAGAAGGCAAAACTCCTTCAACAATCATTGAACAATTAATGATTCTGGTCTCTGGGGGCATGCTTCGGAGTACTGTTGGAGGCTCTTGGCGGCCTCTTGGGTGGGCCTTGGGGCCTTCTGTGGGCGTATGGGGGCCCAGGGCTCGGTGTCAGGGTTTTTCCCCGTTCTTTGGCCCATCTTGGGCCTGGCTTGGGGAGGGGTCCTCTGGGGCCGTCTTGGGCGCCTCTTGGGCCATCTTGGGGCTCCCTGGGCCGTCTGGGGACGCGCTTGGAGGCCTCTTGGGCTGTCCTGGGACGATCTTGTGGTTCTCTTCGGCCGTCGTGGAGCGTCGGCTAGCCGAGAAGGCGAGAAGGCAAACTCCCTTGAAAACCATTGAGAAATAAATGTTTTTGGCCTCTGGGGGCATGCGTCGGGGTACTGTTGGAGGCTCTTGACGGCCTCTTGGGGGGCCTTGTGTGGGCGTATGGGGGCCTAGGGCTCGGAGTGTCAGGGTGTTTCCCCTTTCTTTGGCCCCCTCTTGGGCCTGGCTTGGGATCCTCCGGGGCCGATTTGGGCCCCTCTGGGGCCATCTTCGGGCGCCCAGGGCCGTCTGGGGACGCGCTTGGAGGCCTGTTGGGCCGTCCTAGGGCGGTCTTGTGGGTGTCTTCGGCCGTCTTGGAGCGTCGGCTAGGCGAGAAGGCCTTCAAAAACCATGGACAAGGTCTGCGGAGGAGGATAGGCTCTTGGAGGCCTCTAGGGCCTTGGTGGGGGCCTCTAGGGGGGCTCTAGGGCCTTGGTGGGGGCCTCTAGGGGGCCTCCTGGACTCTCCTTGAGCCTCTTATGGCCACTTCGGCGCGTCGTTGGGCGGAGGGCTCGATTTGTGACGCTCGGGGGCCAGCCAGGATCTTCGTGAGTGGTGTCGAAAAGTGGCCCTCCAGGGGGCGCATCGGTCCACATGCGCTGTTTTGACGTTCTGGCACGCGCTGATGTCCGCCATAGAGAAGAGATGACGTCGGGATCCACCTTCGCCTTCAACATCTGTCTGAACAGCGTCAGGGCCCACTGCCACTGCCCACAATTTTCACACGCGCTTATCCCAGCGTTATAACTGAGAATGTCGTGGTCCAAATTCACCTCGCACATCTCGTTGAGAAGGACAAGAGCCCGCTGCCACTGCTTACCCTTCTCGCACGCGCTGATCCCAGCGCTGTAGTTGACCAGGACTGGCACGTGGATCCCGCCCATTTGCACCAGCGTGTGCTTGTAGCGGATTGACTGTTTGCAGCCAGCGCTGCTTGTGAACAATTTGCCGGTCTGCATGTCGAATTGTCGCTTGCTGCTTGCTTGCTTGGAGTCTTGCTTGCCGTTTGCTGTGTGCTCGTGGCCGGCTTGTTTGCTTGCTAGCCGGCTTGCTGCCTGCTGCCGAACACTGTAATGGGGATCCCCTGGGCTGAATCTGGGCCTTCTCGTGCCTTCCTTGGGGCTCCTTAGGCTACCTCGGAGCACGGCTGGGCCTTCGACAGGTCATGGGACTGTCGGAGGGGGCGCCTTGAGCCGCCGTGGAACGATCTTGACCCGCCCTGGGGCCGGTGGAGGGCCAAGACTGGCAATTCAGACGCGCACGTGCGCCTCCGGGAAGGTCGGAGGAGGCGCGCGGGCTGCGTAGGCTCGGGAGGTGGAAACACTGCAGAGCAGGCCCCTGGCGGCCGGCGGACCTGGAGTACTCTCGGGAAGAACTCCGCGACGGGTCGCGCATTGAGACCAGAGGCGCTCGAAAGAAGGGAGGGGAGGAGGGGGAGGAGGCGGAGGAGGAGGAGGAGGAGGAGGAGAAGGAGGAGGAGGAGGAGGCGTGGGAGGAGGAGGCGGAGGAGGAGGAGGAGGCAGAGGCGGAGGCGGAGGAGGAGGAAGAGGAAAAGGAGGAGGAGGAGGAGGAGGAGGAGGAGGAGGAGGAAGAAATGACTACGACTCGCATAAGTACGATCTTTTTCTGGGTGGCCCGCGCGGTCCCAGAGCTCTCCAAGGAATGCTGCCTCGGATGCCGCTAAGAGGCGGTGGCCTCTCGGGGCGGAGGGGGTTGGAAATGAAATGCCAGGTCGAGATCCCCCTCTTGGGCCTCTTGGGGCTTCTTGGGGCCTTCGCGTGCCGTCCGGGAGCCCTCTTGGGGACCTGCCGAGCCGTCTTGGGGCGTTATCGGCGGTGGGCAAGCCTCCCTTTAGTAAACCACCCCTTAGTGAAAACGGCCTGGGACCGAAACCGACGGACCTGGACCCGCAGAAATGACGGCCGCGACGCCCTCTAGCGAACCGAGAACGGCCAATTCCTTAATCGACGTGTCAGGGTAGGAAGTCTATCAACCTCCGACGTTCTTGGGGGTCTCTTGGGCCGTCCTGGACGTCGGAAGCCCGAACATGGGAGAACGTCACAACAATGACGCCCCTGGGGAAATCACAGATTTTGGTCTCTCGGGGCCCCGTTGGTGGGCCTCTTGGAGCCCTCTTGGGCCGTCTCGAGGCCCTGCTCGGCCGTCGACATGCCATGTTGGCGACCTCTTGGACCGTCTGGAGGCGTCACGGGCCATCTTGGACAATCCTGGGGCCCCCTTGGGTTGTCTTGGAACTCCACAGGGGGCCCGGGAGTGCGCCAGGGCAGGCTCAGGCGATTTGGACCCACTTGAGCCCCGTGCCTTCTGGCACGCGGTGCCCCCAACGTTACAAATTTGACTTGTGTGTATCTGTGGTGTGGGTCCTCTCTGTTGAAGAACCCACGGGCTGTGCACAAGCAGGTCCCAATAGGGCCCCAGAAGGCTCTCTGATCGGTCACTTTGAAGAGCCTTCAAAATGACAGCTCCCAGAGCCGTTGTGGACCCCGGTTGGAGCTCTCTCGGGGCTCTCTTGGCTTTCCTAGTGGACTCCTGGCGCACTCCCCAGCCGTCCAGCCAGATCATTCAGGGCAAGGCCCCATGAGTGTCTAGAACGGCTCTCTGTTTTGTCACTTTGACTTGCCTTCAGGGTGACAGCTCCTAGGGCCGTTATGGGCCTGGGGCTCCCCTAAAGGGATACATGGACACCCCAGGGGGCTCCAAGAGGGGCCCAAGAGGGCCCTACGAGAGCCCCAGATGCTTCAAACACGGGCGCTTGGCCCCAACATGGCCCAAGTAAACTGCCAAGAAGATTCCATATCGACAGATCCGCGAAGACATTTGGGGTTGACTCCTGGGCCTGCTCAGGCTGATCCCGATCTTCGGTTTGACGACTGCCCCCCTCTTTGTTCCACTGCGCGCTCCCACACTTCCATCATCAATGCAAATCGCCTGGCCATCGTTCCTGGATGGGCTGGTGGAAGCGTCAAGAACTTGTGGGATCCTGACAGGGCCGTCTTGTGATCTGGTGGTCGTCTGTGTCGTCCAGGGGCCATCTTATGGCACTCTTGAGCTATCTCGGGCCGTCTTCGGGCCCTCTTGGAGGCATTGCGAGGGCCACTTGGGCAAGGCTCTCTTGGGATAGTCCTAACCGTTCTCGAAGGCTCCTGCGAGCCTCTTCGGCTCTTTCGGAAGACTCTGGACCACTGCTGGGACACCCACTGAAACCGCGACGTGATGAGTCCAGAATCCAAAAAGCATTGGAAACCGCGACTCTGGCAATTTCCGCTCGTCGCGCCCCACGACTGCAATCATCTAGTGGGGCTCAGAGGGCCATCGAGGCGTTGCCCAGGGTCGTCGTGGGCCTGCCTTAGGCACCAGGCGCGTCCTGCGAGAGCTGCGCCGAGCGGCCCGTGGTGAGCGCCTGGAACTCCGCCCGAGACGCCTGCCTTGCACGGGGTTCCTTGTCGCACGCGCTACTCCAAGAGGGTAGTAGAGATGGCGTCGGGCTCCAATTTGGCCTCCCTCATCTCGCTCAGCAGCGACAGCGCCTTCTGCCACTGATTGCCCTTCTCGCACGCGCCCACCCCAGCGCTGTAGCTGACCACGTCGGGACCCACCTTCGCCTCCCGCATCTCGCTGAGCAACAACAAAGCGTGCTGCCAGTTGTCGTCTTTCTCGCACGCGCTGATCCCAGAGTTGTAGCTGATGATGTCGGGATCCAACTTCGCCTCCCGCATTTGCCTGATCAGACCGAGAGCCTGCTGCCACTGCTTGCCCTTCCCACACGCACTGATCCCAGCGTTGTAGACGACTAGGGCTGACCCGTGGACTCCGTCCACGACATCTTTCTGGAATGGTTCTCGGAGGAACGGCGCAGATTGTACCGAAAATCTACAAACACGGCGGCGGCTCGGGCGGCGGCAGCGAGACCGCGCCTTCGTGTCCGAGCTCTTGCAGCGCTGCAGCAGCTTGGCCCAGCGCACTGCTCGTTCACCCCCCTTCTATTGAGGACAGTTTCGAAGTCTCTCGGGGATGTGCGTCGAAGTCGAAGCCCATCTGAGGCGTCTCAGGAGCGCTCGGGGAAGGGCTCGGGAGGCCATCGGGGAAAGCCACCGAAAGCGCCGGGGAGGCTCGCAAGGATCTACAGGGAGGGCCCAAGAGAGCTTCAAGAAAATTTGAAATCCAGTGAACTCTTAAGAGAAACCGCTGTTGGGTCGGCCATCACCTCCGGGCGCGCCTTGATGGTGCGATCCAGTCGCATCACCGCCAACGGGAGGGTTTGTTCGCCATGTCCCATTCTGTTCGCCCAGAGGGTCTGTGGAGGCCTTCGGGCGAACAGAACGGGACAGGGCAAGGACTGGGGAAGACATGTCCGAATCTCCTGGGCCCCCCAGATGCTCGTCCGAAGAATGCGGAGAGGTCCCAGGGTCATATCAATTGGCTGCTGTCCCAGGGGTCCGGTCTGCTTGGCCCGAAGAGTTTGCCAAGGCCCCTGGGGGAACAGAATGGCACAGCATATCGGGCAAAGGGGGGCGGTAGCTGGCCTGTCAGACCCGGCGTTCGTCTTCTGCCCAAGCGGCGCGGGGCCCACGGGCCCCAGGGTTGGCGTCCCGCTGGGATTCCTCTTGTTCGCCCACAGGGTTGGAGGAGGCCTCCAGGCGAACAGAATGGGGCAGGACAATGAATGTGGGAGACTTGTCGCAAGCTCCCAGCCCCCCCAAGTGTGCGCCCGAAGGGTGTGGGGCCGCGTTGGCTCCCTCAAAGGGCCGTCTTGGAGCCGTCTAGGCCCGTCTTGAGGGCGCCGTTTGCCGTGATGGGGCCGTCTTGGTTCGTCGTGGGCCCCTCATGGGCGCGTCCGTAGGCCGTCCTGGGCCCATCGGGGTCCTCGTGGGGCTGTCTTGGAGCCGTCTGGGACCGTGAGGAGGCCGCCTTGGAGTCGTCTTGGGCCCCTCCTGTGCGCCTCCTTGGGCCGTCCTGGGCCCAGCAGGGGCCGTGTTGGCACCCTCTTGGGGCTGTCTTGGAGCCGTCTTGAGCCGTCGCAGCGCGCCTTGGGTTGTGCTGGGTCCGTCTTGGCCCGTCTTGGGGCCTTCCTGGGCGGTTCCTCGGACCCTCCTGGGACTTTCTGGGGCCTCTTGGTGCATCGGACCGCCGAAACGGCGGGAAACGCAAAGGGTGTAACAGTAAACAATGGAAAATTAACGATTTTTGCCAGCTGGGACTCTCTTGCCATCTTGGCCCGTCTTGAGGCCCCGAACGGGCGCGTCCTTGGGCCGTCCTGGGCGCACCCTCCTGGGACCGTCTTGGAATCGTCTTGGGCCGTCTTGAGCGCGCCTTGGGCCGTCCTGGGCCGGTTTGGGGCCGTGTTGGCACCCTCGCGGCGAGGAAGCTCGGAGGTGGGCTCGAGGCCTCTTCGGGGCCATTTTGGAAGCTGTTGGGGCCTCTGTAGGGGCCTCGTTTGGGCTCCTTGGGAGCCTCCTGGGGCCTCTTCGGGGGATTCTTGGCGGCCCCTTGGGGCCTCTTGGGGGCCTGTTTGGGCCTCCTGGCGCCCTCTTGGGGCGGAAGGCTCGGATTTTCGGTCCGTGGTCCCCCTCTTGGCCCCCTCTTGGGCCTGTCTTCGGGCCCTCGTGGGCCGTCTTGAGCGTCTCTTGGGTCGTCTTGGGGCCCTCTTGAGCTGTCTTGGGGCGCTCTTGGAAACCTCTTGGGCCGTTCTGGGGCGCTCTTGGAGGCCTCTTGGGCCGTCTTCGAGCGTCGGAAAGCGGAAAAGGCGAGAAGGCCAAAATCCTTCCAAAACCGTCGTAAAGCGGACGATTTTGAGGCCCAAAACCGTCCAAAACCTCCTGAGGCGGTCCCCTCGTCCGCCCCCCTCGCTTCGAAGCAGTTTTTAAGCCCCGTGGCACCTCTTGGGGATCTCTTTTGGGCTCCTGGGGGCCTCTTGGGCCTCCACTGGATTCGCTGCCCTCGGTCGGCAATCGTCGATCCTACGACGACTCTCCCCAACGGAGAAACATCGAAGGCCCTCGGAGCGTCCAACATTGTTCTTTTGTGCCTTCGATATGCCGGTCGCCTCTCGTCCGCTCCCCCCCTCCTGGAAGCAATTCTGAGGCCACTTAGGGCTTCGTGGGGGCCGTTTGGGGATCTCTTGGGGCGTTTTTGCCTGCGATATGCCTGTCGCCTCTCGTCCGCTCCCCCGCTCCTGGAGGGAATTCTGAAGGCACTGAAGGCTTCGTGGGGGCCGTTTCGGAGCCTCTTCGGCCTTCGTTTGGGCCTCCCGGGGGGGCTCTTAGGGCCCTCTCGGGCCGTCTTGGGTGCCTCTTGGGCCGTCTTGGGGCCGTCTGAGACCCGCCTCGGCGCCTCTTGGGCTGTCGTGGGCCGTCTTGGGCCGCTCCTGGGGTCGTCTTGGGTGCCTCTTGGGCCGTCTTGGGCGCCTCCTGGGCCGTCCGGGGGCCGTCCTGGGGCGTCTTGGGACCGTCTGGGGGCCCTCCTGGCCCGTCTTGGGGCTCTCTTGGGGCTCTCTTGGGGTCCGCTTCGGCCGTCTTGGAGCGGTCGGGGGGGCTTCTTGGGCCGTCCTGGAGCGTCGGGAAGCCGACGAGGCGAGGAGGCCGAAAACATCGAAAAACACAGTAGAAATCTACGATTTCTGTAGCTCGGGGCCCTCTTGGGAGGCCTCTTCGGTCTTGGACGCCTCTTGGGCCGCCTGGGGCGAATCTCGGGCGTCTTGGGCCCATCTTTAAGCGTGCCGGGGCTCTCCGGGGCCGTCTTGGGAGCTTCTGGGGCCCTCTGGACATGTCCTGGGGCCTGCCTGGGCGGCCCGGGGCGGCCCGGGGCCAGCCCGGGGCGGTTTTGAGACACTTGAGCCTGCGCCCTTCTGGCACGCACGTGCTCCTGCAATGTAGTAGAGATGACGTTGTGATCCAGCTTCCTGTCCCTCATCTCGCTGAACAACACAAGAGCCCGCTGCCACTGCTTCCCCTTCTCGCACGCGCTGATGCTGGCGCTGTAGCTGACTCGTGTGAACCCATGGATTAAATCCACGGCGTGCTGAGCCTGGGGCTCGCACAACTTAGGTGACCAGCTCGTCGAAGTTGAACAGCTCGAGCGTCCCTGGGGCGGTAGGGGCGACCTTCGGAGGCACAGGTGACGGTTACGTTTGAGGGCAAATGGTTGGGGGCTGTGTGTGGGGGCCACGTTTGGGGGCGCCTGGGGGCTACGCGTGGGGGTGACGTTCGGGGGCCACGCATACCGGGGCGGTAGGGACGACCTTCGGAGGCTTTGTGTGTGGGCCGCCTTTGGGGGTCCCGTTTGGGGGCCACGTGTGGGGACGACGTTTCAGTGGCCACGTCAGCGGGACACCTCGGAGAGCAGTCGGGGAGCTCCAGGGCACTAGGCGCGATTAGCAAAAACACATGGTTTTCAGGCACAGTCAGAGTGAGGGGGGCACGTGTGCGGGCCTCGGTTGGGGGCCGCGGTCTTGGGGCTATCTCGGGGGTCTCGGGCCGTCTCGGAGGTCGCTGTGGGCCCTCTTGGGCGGCACCTTGGGCCCTTCTTGGGGCGTCTTGGGGCCATCTTGAGGGTCTCGGGCCGTTTCAGAGGTCGCTTTGGGCCCGGTCGGGCGGGGTCTGGGGCCCGGTTGCGGCTGACTTGGGAGTCACTTGAAGCTCTCTCGGGTCGTCTTGGGGTCCCTCTTGGGCCGTCTACGGGCCTTCTTGGGCCGTCTGGGGGCCCTCCTGGGGCCCTCTTGGACCATGTAGGGGCGATGTGGGAAGCCCTCAGGGCCATCCTGGGCCGTTGTGGGCCCGAAATTGCGGGAACAGGAAAACCTTCGAAACCTTCAAAAAACGCACAAATATTGCCCCTTGGCGCCGTCCAGGCGGCCCTCGGGGGCCGTCTCTGAAGCCTTTTTAGGCCGTCAGGGGGCTCCGGTCGGGTCGGCTTCGGCCCTCGGGGGCGTCTGTGAGGCCGTCTTGGGGCTATCTGGGGGTCCTGGAGCCGTCGGCGAGCGCTCCAAAGGCTCTCTGGGCATCCGGCGGAGTGGGGACCAATAGTGGCCGGAGTCGGGAGAAGGGAGAGGAGGAGGAGGACAAGCTAGATGCGTTCGCGCCATATCTGACATCCTATCCTTCCATCGCTTCCCATAGCGATCATTTATTCTCTATTCGCGGACGCGTGTCGTAGCCAACCTGGGACTACAAAATAAGACCCAATCAAGTTATGCGCAATCAGAAAAGGGGAGCTGCGTACATAAGAGTAGGAGGCGGTGGCGGGTAAGCAGGAGGATGAGCAGGAGGAAGAGGAGGAAGGAGGACGAGGATTAACAGGATCAACATCAGGAACTGGAGTGGAATGGGAGGAGCCGGACCAAGGGAAGGCAAAGAGGGGAAATGCGGGGGGCGACAACGATACATAGGGGCTCGGATCCAGAAAAGTGGCCCGCGCTGAGGCGAGAGCGCCAGAGTGAACGACGGGAGCACAGCGCCGATCCGAAAATGAGGCCCACGCTGCAGCGGGAGCACCGCTTTGAACCACCGAAGGCAATCGGATTGTCAAAATTAGCCTGGCGAGAAACCCAACCATCTGCAAATGTGGCACCGTCGTTGTATGCCCGGCACTCGGTGGAGCTCCCCTTACGGCTACCAAACGTGCGAGGGGTGTGCCAAAATGGGTGCGATGGGCGCGTGCGAACGCTGGCATTTGGGCAGTTGGTGGGGCGCCCTAAGGAGCCCCGAAGCGTGAGAGGGGCATGCCAAAATGGGTGCGGTGGGCGCATGCGAACGCTGGCATTGGGGCCTTCGGTGGGGCGCCCTATGGAGCCACTAGACGTGTGAAGAACGTTCCAGAGTGGGTGCGGTGGGCGCATGCGATCGCTCGCATTTGGGGGCCTTCGGTGGGGCTCCCTGGAGGGCCACGAAACGTTTGAGGGGCGTGCCAAAATCGGCTCGCTGGGCGCATGCAAAAGTTGGCATGTGGGCCTTCGGTGGGGCTCCTTATAGAGCGGTGTGCCACAATGGGGTGTGAGGGGTGTGCCCAAATGGGTGCGGTGGGCGCGTGCGGACGCTGGCACTTGGGCCTTCGGTGGGGCGCCCTCTGGAGCCACTAGACGTGTGAGGGGCATGCCAAAATGAGTGCGGTGGGCGCATGCGAACGCTGGCATTTGGGCATTCGGTGGGGCGCCCTATGGAGCCACTAGACGTGTGAGGGGCATGCCAAAATGGGTGCGGTGGGCGCATGCGAACGCTGGCATTTGGGCATTCGGTGGGGCTCCCTATGGGGCCGCGAGGCGTGTGAGGGGTGTGTGCCGAAATGGGTGCGGTGGGCGCGTGCGGACGCTGGCACTTGGGCCTTCGGTGGGGCGCCCTATGGAGCCACGAAGCGTGTGAGGGGTGGGTGCGGTGGGCGCATGCGAACGCTGGCATTTGGGCCTTCGGTGGGGCTCCGTGTGGGTGCACGAAACGTGTGAGCGGTGTGCAAAAAATGAATGCGGTGGGCGCGTGCGGACGCTGGAACTTGGGTCTTCGGTGGGGCGCCCTCTGGAGCCACGAAGCGTGTGAGGGGTGTGCCGACATGGGTGCGGTGGGCGCACGCGCACGCTTACACTTTGGCCTTCGGTGGGGCCCGCTAAGAGGCCACGCGACGTGTGAGGGGTGTGCTGAACTGGTAGACTTGGTCGGAAAACAGAGGAATGGATCGGAGGAGGAAGGGTGGAGAGGACGGGGAGGAGGAAAGAAGACGCGGGGCGCTGTCTCTTCAAAACGAAGACCCACCACCACAGGATGGTTGGGAACCGAATAGAGAATGGAAAATTAGCCGTGCGAAGGACCCAACCATGTGCAGTTGTGAGCACCGTCGTTGTGTGCACAGGTTTTGGTGGAGTTCCCTATGGGGCTACCAAGCGTGTGAGGTGTGTGTGTGTGTGTGTGTGTGTGTGTGTGCCAACATAGGTCCTAAGGGCGCATGCGAACGCTGGCATTTGGGCCCTCGGCTGGGGCTACCTATCGGGCCACGGGACGTGTGCGGGGTGCGCCAAACATGGGTGCGGTGGGCGCGCGCGAACGCTGGCAGTTGGGCCTTAGGTGGGGCTCCCTATGGGGCCACGGGACGTTTGAAGGTGTGCCAAAATGGGTGCAATGAGGCATTTGGGCCTTCGGTGGGGCTCCCTGTTGGGCCACGAAACATGAGGGGTGTACCACAATCGGCTCGGTGGGCTCATGCGACAGCTGACACTTGGGCCTTCGGCGGGGCTCCCTATAGGGCCCCGAAACATGTGAGGGGTGAGCCAAAATGAATGCGGTGGGCGCATGTGAATGCTGGCATTTGGGCCGTCGGTGGGCTCCATATGGAGCCACGAAACGTGTAAGGGGTGCGCCAAACATCGGTGCGGTGGCCGCATGCGTACGCTAGCATTTGGGCTGTCGGTGGGGCTGCCTGCGGGGCCATGGAATGTGTGACGGCTGTGCCAAAATAGGTGCGGTGACCGCGTGCGAACGGTTGCATTTTGGCATTCGGTGGGGCTCCTTGTGAAGCCACGAAACGTATGAGGGGTGTGCTAACATGGGTGCGGTGACCGCATGCGGACGCTGGCGTTTGGACCTTCGGCGGGGCCCTATACGGCCACGAAACGTGTGAGGGGTGTGCCAACATAGTGCGTTGGCCGCATGCGTGCGGTAACATGTGGGCCTTGCGTGGGACTGACTGCGGGGCCACGAAACGTGTGAGGGGTGAGCCAAAATGGGCGCGGTGACCGCATGCGTACGCTAACACATCGGCATTCGGTGGGGTTCCCTGTGGGCTTACAAAACGTGTGAGCGGTGTGCCAAATAGGTGCGGTGACCACGCGCAAACGCTGGCATTTGGGCTTTCGGTGGGGTGCCCTATGGGGCCGCGGGACGTGTGAGGGGTGTGCCAAAATGGGTGCGGTGACCGCGCGCGAACGCTGGAATTTGGGCCTTCGGTTGGGCTCCCTATGGGACCATGAAATTTGTGAGGGGTGTGCCACAATGGGTGCGGTGACCACGTGCGAACGCTGGCACTTGGGCCTTCGGTGGGGCTCCATCTGGTGCCACGAAACGTGTGAGCAGTGTGCCAAAATGGGTGCGGCGACCGCGTGCGAACGTTGGCATGTTGGGCCTTCGGTGGGGCTCCCTGTTGGGCCACGAAGAGTGTAAGGGGTGTGTGCCAAATTGGGCGCGGTGGCCGCATGCGAACGCTGGCATTTGGGCCTTCGGTGGGGCTGCCTATGGGGTCACGGAGCGTGTGACGGGTGTGCCAAAACAGTTGGCTAGTTCGGAGGGCAAGAGGGAGGGATCGGAGGAGGGGGAAGGAGGACAGGACAGGACAGGACATTTGCATAAAAGGGGGCCAACGTCAACACATCTAGACTGGTGCCTTGCGAGCGTCTGGCAAAATCCCCTGCGATAAAATCGTGTGCCGCGCGCCCCATACTTCTCCTGGTGCGGGCAGGGGGCATACCCCGAAGCACAATGGGGCGAGCTCCGAGGTGGCCCCGTAAGGGAAGTTCGCTGATTAAGACGAGTCCCTCGGCTCAGTGCGAGGGGGGCAGCTGCTGGCTAGTTCGCGTGCCCTGTCTGGGGGGCGCGCTGGCGAACAGGGCTCCCAAGTATGGGGGTACCCTGAGCCCTTCTTTAATGTGTGAGCCAAAGCGCCTGTCTTCCTAGAAGCCGGCCCCCCCCTTCCCCCTTCCACCAACACAGGAGCTCCAGCACCACTCCGAGATGTCCTCCCGCGCTAAGCGCGCTCAGGTTTCGTTCCCGCCGCCAAAAGTGCTTAGAAATGCTCCACCTCTCCTCCTCCGTCCTCTGCAAAGTCACACTTACTTTAGAAAATCTGGGGAAACATGCGACACGATCAGAATATGGACCGGGGACGAGAGACCGGGAGGAAACGCTAGTGAGAGGGGGGAGAGACAGAGTATACCGACATCCTGCTGCGTTTCGAGCAGAGCCCCCTCCCCCCCCACTCCCCCCCCTCCACCAACACAGGGGCTCCAGCGCTCCGAGGTGTCCTCGCTCGTGCTCTCTTTTCTCACTGCGCCGAGACAGATGCTTCCCGCGCCAAACGCGTTCAGGTTTCGTTTCCCGCGCCAAACGCGCTCAGACATGCTCCGCCTCTCCTCCCCCTTCCTCTGCAAGGTCGCACTTATACACCAGAAATGGGGAAACATGCGGCACGATCAGAAGATGGACCGAGGACGAGAGACAGGGGGGAAACGCATGGGAGAAAAGGGGGTAGAGAATGCAGGAGGCCCCTGCACCCCATGCGCCTGCTGATGCTGATGGGCCTGGTGAAGGTTCTGCTTGCATCCGGCTGTCAACGCTTCGGGAAGAGTCCCTCCCTCTCCCCCCCCCCCCCCCCCGCCTCCCCTCGCCGCGCCGAGACAGATGCCCTCCGCGCCAAGCTCTCTCAGAGATTCGCCACATCTGCTCTTTTCTTCCCCATGCAAGATCACACTCAGTTCTTCAGAAAATCTGGGGGTACACGCGGCGCGTGCAAGGAATTAACGCCGCATCTCTTTTCAAGGCGATTATTTGTCTAGGAACGCGCATTTGTCTCCCACTTGGGTAACACATCCTAAGGAGATCCACTCTGAAATGGCGTTTGCAAGTCGGTGAACAGTGTATTACACATTCCCGATGAGATCCCGTTGATGCTGAATTTCCACCGCGGAAGCGAATCTCCCAAAGAAATCAAACTTCAATGCGTCGCGGATCAGATCACTTTTTGCTTCAGCTTCTTCGGCTGGGTCTAAAATGGCACTCTGCAGCTGGATCATCCGTGTCGGGTTCAAATTGATTTTGCAACGTCCATACTCTGTGGAGAAATCGAATATTTCTAACTATGTCAGTGCATTCTCCACTTCCTGTTGTGTGAGACCAGGAGGCAACGTTTGTTGAATTTCTGTCGCCCTAGCCAATAAACCGGACCTTCTCAGAAACACCTCGGAAACTTCCTCCAGTATGTTCCGATCTGCCGACAGAGAGACCATGGATTTTCGAGGTTCATCACTGGCGGAAGCCAGTGGCCTCCGAACCTCGGGGCCTCCATATTCCCTCTGGCTATGTTCCATTGACGCAAGTGACCTTCTATTCCCAGTGCCAACAATTTCCGAACATCTCGTTCTCTGCTTCGCTGTCTCCTCATTTGCTTCAGGGCCACACTCCAACCTTCCATCGACCTCAGAGTAGATGCGTCGCATGAAATTCCCATCGCCTGAAGAGCAGGGGTCTATGGTTTCCGAAGATTTTCATCGGTCGCAGCCGATGACCTCCGAACCTCACGGTCTCCACCTTCCCTCGTACCGTTGTCGTCTATCTTCGCTCGCCGCCCAGCAGGTCGACGCACAGCAGGCCCTATTGAACTCCATTGGAGCAGTTGGTCTTCAATATCCTGCTGCATCTGTTCCCGAAGTTTTGACTATTTTATGGTTTTCGCAGCTCTTCATCGGCACCCTCCAGTTGCCTCCGAACCTCGGGGCCTCCATCTTCCCTTTGGCGGCCGCTGTCCAGCGACGGCTCTTGTTCAACGAATTGCTCGCACATGGGAAGCCTGGCAACTTGGCAATTCCTAGCGTGGGTACGGCGGATCCGTTCTCTTCGTCTGTGTCTCGTCGTTTATTTTTTCTTTCCCCCAAGGTCGCACTCCAATCCTCCATAGACTTTCAGCAAGTTGCGGCATTCCAAAAAAAAAACATCACCAGATTACGACCCCTGTCCCGCAAGAGAAAATCGCAAAAAGGTGCAGTATCGGAATGGTTGCACGGATTGTTTTGTTTATTCTCCGTCGTCAGTCCTCCCCCCTCCCCCCTCCCCCAATCACTGGAGAATGTATGGGGCGGAAGTCGTGTGAGTGGGTTTCAGTGAACGTCCTCACTCCGTCGGAGCTCAAATTGCCTGGACCTCCAACGCCGACTAGGGGAGGGAGAAGGGGGAGGAGGAAGGAAGGAGAGGAACGCGGGGCACTGTCTCTTCAAAACGAGGACCCCACACCACAGGATGGTTTGGAAGAGCTGTGCGCGGAGAGAGCCGACCATCTGACGCACAGGGTCAGGGGTGAGAGGCGTCGCACTCATGATGTGCATCTGTTCCGGGGAAGCGGGGGCTGTTCTGGCCACGGCGGGCCTCGGCCACGAATATATTCCCCGGCCTCTGCCTAAGGAGCAGGCCAAACAACCGAACCCCCCCTGAGACCAAAGTGGATTTTAGTTTCATCGCCCCGACCGTATTTGTCAGGCGGAGACAAGGGGGTCCCGAGGGCCCCCGCCACCCCCCACCGTCAGGCTGGGCGACCCAGAACAACTGGAGCGGGGAGGAAAACCAACCGCAGGGTGATGGGCGGGTGGAAGGGTGAGCGAGCAACGACATGTGTACATGTACGCCCTCCGCGGCCTTGCGTGCACGAGCCTCCACGTTCAAACGCCATTCGGCGAACACAAGCCGCGTACACGTACATGTGTTGTTGCCCTCTGAAAGGGGCGTGCAGCCGTGGTGTCACCACGCTCCTGGCCACGCCAGAGCAGGAGGAGGAGGAGGAGGAGGAGGAGGAGAAAGAGGATAAAGAGGAGGAGGAGGAGGAGAAAGAGGAGGAGGAGGAGGAGGAGGAGAAAGAGGAGGAGGAGGAGGAGGAGGAGGAGGAGGAGGAGGAGGAGGAGGAGTGCAGCCGTGGTGTTGCCATACAGCACATCGAATCCAGGAACGAGGTGGCTATTCCTGGCCACGGCGGGCCTCGTCTACGGATACTTTGCCCCGTCGTTACTAATGAGGAGCGGCCCGAACACCGGAGCCCCTTCGGAACCTAAATCCCACCAGCCCTTTAGGGCGTCGGTGGTTTAGGAGCGTTTCCTCTTCCACCCCTCCCTCTTCCCCTTCGGGGAGGGGTTTACCCCTCCCCCTACCCCCTCCCCACTGACCTGGACAGGGGGTTCTGCGGCGCGTTGGGGATACTTTTTTTTTACAGCCGCAGGCGGAAGCGCCAGCGGCGGGAGGTCGCGGGCGCGTTGGGGATACGCGAAGCGTCTAGAATTGGTCCTTATTTCAGCGCCTTGACTGTAAAGTGATTGGGGGGGAAGGGGACGGCCAGAAATGGGGAAGGCGCAGAGACAAGCAGGGGTTCCGGTGGTGATGTGGGAGCCCCATGCTGGGATGAGGACAGGATGGGGACGAACGGTAACAGGGGGGGAGGAGGAGTGACGCGAAAGGATGGAAAGCGGGGAGGTCCCTGTGCTGGCGTTGGGGTGCCAGAGGCTGCGCCCCCCCCCCCATGGCCCCGAACTCGCTTATGGGGGGGTCCTGGGGTCAGCCTGGGCCATGTTTGGCCGTCTTATCGTTTCATGAGGGCCTGTGGGTGACACTGACAAGTCTTCTGGCAGCTCAGTCACGCTGCCCTGCGCGCGGATACTCGAAAACCACGGCCTGCATAGCAAAGTTCGCCGATTTCGAATGGATATCGCTCCCCTGAAGCTGAAAACCAGGGGAGGGCTGGACTATGTTGTGATCCTTTGGGGCCCTCTCGGGGTCTCGTTTGGCCCTCTGGGGCCCTCTTGGGGCCTTTTGAAGCTTCAAGCCATGCTTATTGAAAGGCGGGACATTGTGATGATTTTTGAAAGCCAAATGAATGTGACCCGCCTTTCGGGACCTCCGGGGACGTTCTTGGAAGCGCTGGGGGTAAAAGAGGGTGGGCCCCAGGCCAGCCAGCGGCTGCTGGAGTGGCCCTCAGGACAGCCAGCGGCCGCTGGAGCGGGTTCTGGAGAGAGTCTGGGGCTTGGTGCCGCCGCCACTGATCCTCCTCTCTGGGACTCGTTTCGACCTGAGCTGTATTGCAGATCGCGTCGGGCTCCAACATGGCCGCCCCCATCTCACTGAGCAACGCAAGGGCCCGCTGCCACTGCTCGCTTTTCTCGCACGCGCTGACCCCAGCGCTGTAGCTGATGAGATCGGGGTCCAAGCTCGCCTCCCTCATCTCGATGAGCAACGACAAGGCACACTGCCACTGCTTTCCTTTTGCACACGCGCTGATCCCGGCGTTGTAGCTGATAATGTCGGGATCCAACTTCGCCTCCCTCATCTCGCCAAGCATCGACAAAGCCTGCTGCCACTGCTCGCTCTTTTCGCACGCACTGATCTCAGCGTTGTAGATGACTAGTGCGAACCCGTGGACCTCGTCCACGACCAGCATGTCCCCCGGGCGCGCCTCCACGTTGGGCCCCCGCCCAGGAAGAAGGCACCCCGAAGTCTTCGGTGACTTTTTCCGACCGCCTTTCCGAAATTGGAAGGCGGGCGCTTCTTCCTCTTCGTCCGCCTTCCGCTCCACGTTCGTCTGGACAGCCTTCGGAGAGTCACAGACGGCTACGGTGGGTCTGCGGTGTGCCTCTCGCCGCGTGTCTGCTCCCCCTGGTTTGAACAATTTTGAAAGCACCTGGGGCCTAGAAAAAAGTCACCAAGAGGGCTCTGGTGACTTCTTCCCCTTTGCCTTTTCGAAGCCTGATGATGGGCGCTGCCTTCTCGTTGGGGACTGTTAGGGGGCCTCTCGGGGTTTCTTTTCAGCCTCCTAGGGGCATCCTGGGGGCCTCTTGGGTCCCTCCCTCTTGGGCCGTCTTGGGTGCCTCTTGGGGCCGTTTCGGGCCGTCTTGGGCGCATGCGGGGACCGCCTGCAGGCCCTCTTGGGCCATCTTTGACCGCTCTTGGGGCTGTCTTGGGTGCTTCTTGGGTTGTCATGGGCGCCATAGGGGCCGTCCAGGGGCTGTCTGGGGCCATCGTGGAGGCCTGCTGGGGCTCTCCTGAGGCGTCTTGGGGCGATCTTGGGGGCCTGCATTGTCGTCTGGGACGCTTGTCAAGCGAAAAACACGGGAAGTACGAGCATGCACGTTTTCCCTGGGGTTCGGCATGTTTTGTGCTTGTGCAGGCTCTGTCGGGCGTATTCTGGGAGCCCACTTGGAGCGCTTTGGAAGCCTCTTGGGCCGTGTGGAAGCTATCTTGAGCGCCTTCGAGCACTCTTGGACCGCCTCGGATGCTCTTTTGAACCGTCCCGAGACGTCTTGGAACTCTGTTGGAGGCCTCCCGGGGCGTGTCGGAGCGCTCTTGGGCCATCCTGGCAGCGCACTGGGGGGCTGCTGGGCCTCGCCTGGGCCGCCGGGGCGCCGAGAAGCCGTCTCGGACCCCCGCCCTTTTCGCATGAACTGGTCCCTGCAGTGTGGTAGACACTACTTTTAAGTCGGGCGTGTCCCCCTACAGGGGGATTTTGGACGAAAAATAAGAAATAGTCAAAACATGTCCTAAAATATCCAAACATGTTTTTTTTGTTTTTTTTTTTTTTTTTAAAAAAAAAAAAGATCGTCCCCAGACTGATTTTTTAACTACTTTTGAATATCCCTCCTGTAGAGGGACAGGCCCGGCTTAAGATTACTTAGGGCTGATCCGTAGACTACGACCATTTGCGGGGTGAACGGGTGCGGCCGCCAACCGATCAGGACAGATGGCCTCAAGTTCGCGTCTCGGGGCCGTCTCGGGGGCCTCCAGGGCCTTCCAGCGCAGTCTCGGAGCGTCTCAAGAGAGCACCAAGAGGGGCCAACAGCCTGTCACGAACAAGGCTTCTTTTCGTGACACGTTGTGGGGCGTTCTTGAAGCTCTCGTGGGGCCCTCTGGGGGCCACTGTTGGGGCTCTCTTGTGACCGTCTCGGGGGCCTGCAGGGCCCTCCAGCGCAGTCTCGGAATGCCTTGAGAGAGCCCCGAGAGGGTCCAACAACCTGTCACGTAGCAGGCGCATTGTCATGACGGGTTGTTCGGCTCTCTGGAGGCTTTCTTAGGGCCCTCTTGGGCTGTCTTGTGGCTTTTTTGAAGCATCTCGGGGCCGTCTCGGTCGACTCCAGGGCCCTCCTGTGCGGGCGAGGAGGGTGAGCAAGAGGGAGCGGAGGAGCTGGGGGGCCAAAACGGGGAGGCAGACGAGGAGGGTAGCAAGAGGAAGATGACCTAATGAGAGGTTGCCAGCGGCTTTGAGATGGAGACAGCTCATGCAGCTGACAGCGTGTCGCTCTCACGCGTCAGCAGGCAAGGAACAATCCGGGACGGTACAAACAGGGCCTTTGGCAGCGTGTTGCGCCGAAGCGTGATGGGCCAAGATCGGAAGCTTGAATCGGGTCGGGCGAAAGGGGGGGATAGCAAAGGGGGGGGTTGAGAATCAGCTCACGTAGCTGATTTTCTCGGCGCCTCCCGGCGCCGGGAGCGGCCATGTATCGAGGAGTTGGCCTCTCGGTGAGGCCGAAACCAGCTGCATGCAGCAAATTTCGTAACCCCCCCTTTCCCAATCCCCCCCCTTTCGCCCGACCCGATCGAACCGCGGAGCAGATGCTCCCGGCCGTGGCCCGAGGGGGGGGGGGGAAGGCGCGCTGTCGGCGGGCGGCGGGCCAGGGTGGAAGGGAGACGCCTGCGTGTTCGATGCCGAACAGGTTGCAGGGCCCCTCGGCTCCTGTTGGAGGCCTGGAAATTGGCACCAACACCAACGCAGGGGGTTGCCTCCACAGGGGGACGATGATCCTAGATTTCGGTGTTGGTGGTAATATTTCGGTCTCCTCGGAAGTCGGAATATTACCACCATCACCGAGATGGGGAACTTCTTCCCCCGGTGGAGGCACACCGCCGATCTTGGTGTTGGTGTCAACCTCTGGGCCTGCGAGTGAACCTCGCCGCTGCCCCGCGAGCGAGGCTGCAGCAGAGGAGCCGCGCGCGAAGTAAATGTCCGCGGCGGGGGCGCCGACGCCGCGAGGGCCGCGCCCGCGGCCGGCGGACAGCACGGAGCACGGCCCGCGGACGGGGCGCGGAGGCCCCCAGAAGATCGCAGGATGCCCCCAGGCTGCCTCCAAGAGGCCCCTCAAGAGACTCCCCAGATGCCCCCCCTCCCCTGGACCTGGATGGGGGGGGGTCGCGAGTCGTCGGAGCGTCCAAAACGGCCTCGGCGAGGAAGCCATAATCATTGATCTTATCAAGGTTTGGGCCCCATTTTGGCCTCCTGGGGGGGGGGGGGGGGGCTGTAATTAGTACCCCCCCCCTCCTGTGATCGATCTCACCCAAGATGGCCCACCCCGCAGGGGGCCCGAAGAGGCGCCACCGAGGCTCCCAATGCGCTTCAAGAGGCGCGACATGGCCGCACTGTAAGCCTTGGAAACGTTCAGAAAGATGCGCAATTCTAACCTCCTCGGCCTGTTTCCTGGGACGTTCTTCGTGCGTAGGCGTCCTCGACCAGCAAAAAGTCGCGGACATGAAAGCGCGGCCCAAGAGGTGCCCAGGAAGCCCAAAGAAGCTCCCACGAGGCACCCGAAGATGCTCCCCACTGGCTCCCACGAGACCCCGAAAAAGGCCCCAAGAAGCCCCCCAGAGGCACCTCACACGTTCGAAGCAGCGTCGGCGAGAAGGCCAACATCAGCCATGTTACTAAGGTTTTGGTAACTTTGTAGCCTCTTGCGTAAGTTGCTAAGGTACGACGGCCCCTCCTGTGACCGATCTCTTCCCAGATGGCTCCAGGATGGACACCGAGGCGCGCAAGAGTGCCCCAAGGGGGCCCAGGAAGTACCCAGGAGGCCCCCAGAAGCTCCAAAGATGCCCCCAAGATGCCTCCAAGAGGCCTCAAAGACACCCCGCAGAGGCCCCCTGGAGGCCCGAAGATGCTCCTCCGAGGCACCCGAGAAGCCTGAAGAGGCGCGACGTGAGGAAGGCGTGAAAACCTGGAATAACCCCAGACAAATGTGAAGGGGCCCTTGGACACACAAATAAACACACACACGCACATAACAGGATTCCCTATATCACAGGATAATCACAATACGCGATGTGAATAACCTCGGACAAGTGAATGGCTTTGCCTCCGGGGGGGCTGCTTCCTGGGACGCTCTTCGCGCCCCCGAGGCCCGAAGAGCCTCCACCGAGGCATCCAAGACGCTTGAAGCGGCTCGCTATGAGGAAGGCGTGCAATCATTGAGGAACCTGAAACAAAGCAATGACTTTGGCTCCGGGGGGGCTGCTTCCTGAGAGGATCGTCGCGCAAACGGGGGCGTCCTGGATCGCTCGCCGGCCGCTTCGAAGGCGTCCTCGACCCGCGCGGAGAAAGCGCGGACAAGAGTTAGCACGAAAGTGACGGCCCGAAGAAAGGCTCAGGAGGCCCGAACAAGCTCCCACGAGGCCCCCAAGATGCCCGCCAGAGGCTCCCACGAGATGCCCAAGAGGCCCCAAGAGGCCTCCTGGCGGCAGTGAAGACGCTCCAGGAGGCGTCGGCGAGAAGGCCCAAATTGACATGACTTAGTTTTTGCTGTATTTTGGCCTCCTCCTCCTGCCCCTCCTGTGACCGATTTTTTCGACGATGGCCCCACGATGGACCCAGAGGCTTCCAAGAGTGCTTCAAGAGGGCCCAAATTGCGCCCCTGAGGCCCTCAGAAGCTCTCGAGATGCCCCCAAGATGCCTCCAAGAGCCGCGAAGAGACTCCCAAGAGGCCCCCAGGAGGCCCGAAGGGGCTCCACCGAGGCACCCAAGGCGCTTCAAGAGGCGCGAAATGGGGAAAAGGTGCAACCCCCAAAAAGATACGAGCATTTATAATTTGGGCTCGCGCTGTTTCCTGGGACGATCTTCCCGCTCGCTGGCCGTCTCGAAGGCGTCTTCGACCAGCGAGGAGAAACGCGAATCTTAACATTTAGCACGATAGTGCCGTGTGAGATGTCCCTGCAGCTCGCCGGCGGATCTGTAGCTGCTTTTGAGCGAGTTTGGCCCCAAATGGGCCCCAGGCCCTTTTCGCACTCACGGATCCCTGCAATGAAGGTAAGGAGACTAGTGCTGAAGGGTTACGTTCCCGTCAGGCGGTGTGATCTGATCATAGTTCTCCTGGCGGCCACAGAAGCTCAATAGCATACAGGTGCGATGATCGCTTGTCTGTTTGATTTCCTGTCTGCAATCCTGCTAGCGAAGTTTCTGGCCCGGTAACCTTCAACTCGCGGCCTGATCGCCTGTTTGTCCAAACCCTCTTGCGTCGGGCTCTCCTTTTGCATAATCAGAGCACCGCCGTCGCGACGACTTTTTCTTATCCCCCTCATCATGCCTCATGCTTCCCATCTCTCCTGTGTGTTGGAGTCTCGCTTTGAATAGAGCACTGTACTGTGGTCCCCACCTCCCCTCTCTCCTCCCGCCTCCTCCTGCCTCTCCTGCGCTGCTCCCAGGGTGGCTGCGAACTGCGCAACCGTCGCAAAGCTCGTGTGCTCCTGGGAGGCACGGCGGAGTCGGGGAGCACTCGGGTCCAGACGTGACCTCGGGTGGAACACGCAGATCTAGACGGAGCCTCGCAGCTCCCTTGGGTGGCTGCGAACTGCGCCGCTGTCGCCAGTGTGTTGGGCTCCTGGAAATCACCGCGGGGTCGGGGAATAAGCGGATCCAGACGGAACCTCGCTGCTGCCAAGTTGGCCACGAACTGCGCAACCGTCGCCACTTTCGTGGGCTCCTGGGAGGCACGGCGGGATCGGGAGCACGCGGATCCAAGCGGAAGCTAGCAATCCCCTGGGTGGCTGCAAGCTGTGCAACTGTCGCCACGTTCGTGGGCTCGTGGGATGCCCAGCGGAGTCGGGGAGTACGCAGATCTAGACGGAACCTCACAGCTCCATTGGGTGGCTGAGAGCTGTGCAACTGTCGCCACGTTCGTGGGCTGCTGGGAGGCACGGCGGGGTCGGAAAGTATCGCGAACTGCGCAGCTGGAGCCACTTGTGTGGGCTCGTGTGGGACGGCGGAATCGGAGAGTACGCGGATCCAGACGGGACCTCGCAGCTCCCTGGGTGGCTGCGAACTCAGCCACTGCCGTCACTTTCGTGGGTTTCTGGTAGGTCCAGTGGAGTCGGGGAGTACGCGCACCCAGGCGAGACCTCGCAGCTCCCTTGGGGACTGCGAACTGCGCAACTGTCGCCTTTTTCGTGCGCTCCTGGGAAGCACGGCGGACTAGGGGAGTACGCGGATCCAGACAAGACCTCGCAGCTTCCTGAGTGCTTTCGAACTGCACAGCCGTCGCCACTTTCATGGGCTCCTTGGAGGTCCAACGGAGTCGAGGGCCACGCGCACCCATTTGGGACCTCGGTGCCCCCCCTTGGAGGCTGCGAATTGCGCACCTGTCACCACTTTCGGTGTGTTCTTGCGAGGTCCAGCGGGGTCGCTGGCCACGCGCACCCATTTGAGACCTCGCTGCTCGGGGATGCTGCGAACTTCGCAACTGTCGCCACTCTCGTGGGCTCCTGGGAGGCACGGCGGAGTAGGGGGCCACGCGGATCCAGCCGAGACCTCGCGGCTCTCTGGGAGACTACGAACTGCGCAACCGTTGCCTCTTTCGTGGGCTCATGGGAAGCACGGCGAAGATAAGGGCCAGCGCTGATCGTGCATGTATGGCGTTCTGTACTGTTGTATGAAGCGTCCATGCAACTGTTCACCTTGCGTGGAGACGGGATTGTCTACGGTTCGGGTAAGTGTTGTTGCTTGCTTCGTTGCTTGCTCTTCCGCTCGCTGCCACTTGCTGCCGCTGGCCGCTCGGGGCCGTCTTGACGCCATCTTGTCTGAGGGCCGTATTCGAAGCGCGTCGGGCCACTCCGAGGCCGTGTCAGGGGCCAGGAGGAGAGAGCGAGGAGGAGTGATGGGAGACGAGCAAGGAACAAGGACAAGGGAGCAACGAGCAATGGGCGAGGAGCTTTGAGCAAGAAGCGAGGAGAGAGGGTTTGGAGAGCGACTATCCAATTCATGTCTCAATTGCCTCGCCGCGCGCGTTGCCAAACACCTGGTCTCTTACTTGGTTGCGCAGGGGGCCGCTGTAGGGGGGCCTCTTAAGCTCCCATGGGGCCATCACAAGCACCCTGGAACCATATGGGCGGCCCTTGGGGCAACTGGGAGCTGTTCGGAGGGGGTCCGTGGACGTTCTGAGGGGGTCTGGGGACGTTTTGGAAGGGTCCTGGGCTGCCTTGAGCCCGAATTGGGGCCATGTTCGGCCTCTCGGACCATCTTGGTAACCATTTGGGCCGTCTTGGGGTCACCTTGGGGGCCTCCAAGGCTGTCTTTCCTCGATCTCGGGAACCTATTGGGCCGTCCTGGGCGTCCCGAAGTCCGGCAAAGCGAGTGTGCAAAGACATAGCTCAAACGCAGGTTTGTGCTTGTGGAGGCTCTCTCGGGAGTGCTCTTGGAGCCTATCTGGGACGTCGTTGGGGATTCTTGGCTGTCAACGGGCCCTCTTCGGCTGCCCGGGGCCTCTCTTGGATCGTCCTGGGGCCCTCTTCGGAACCTCTTGGGCCGTCTTGGAGTGTCCTGGGGTCGCCCCCGCCTGCCAGGCCGACTCCCCCCCCTCATTGTGCCCCTCACGCGCGGGTCGCTTCATTGTAGGAGAGGTAATGTTGGGAGCCAACTTTGCCAGCCGCATCTCGCTGAGCAACACGAGGGCTTGCTGCCATCGTTCGCCTTTCTCGCAAGCGCTTATTCCAGAGCTGTAGCTGACGACGGTGGGCTCCAACTTCACCTTCGCTATGTCACTGAGCAGTGATAAAGCCTGCTGCCACTGCTTGGCTTTCTCGCACGCGCTGATCCCAGCGTTGTAGCTGACAGTCGTGACTCGGGCTGGCCGCGGACTACGTCGACGAAGTCTGCACGAACTAGCAAGTGATTGTGGACGTGCTGCCGACAAGCTAATATGAAAAAAACAGGGATCGACAAGCGCATTCCACGCATGCCACTACTTGCTGCTTCTCGCTGCCGCTGCTGCGTGCTGCTGGTGATGCGTGCCCCTGCTGTGTGCTGTTGCTGCTTGTGGCTGCATGGTGCTTCTGCTGGCCAGTTCTGCTTGGTGCATGCTGCTGCCCGCTGCCTGCCTCTGCTTGCTCGTGCTGTGTGCTGCCGCGGCCGCCTGCATAATGCTGCGTCCATCTTGGCGGCCGCTTGGGCCGTCTTGGAACCTGGTTGGGCCATCCTGGAGCCCTGCTGGGTCGTCTTGGGGCCCTAAGGGGGGGGCCTCTCGGGCCGCCTTGGGGCGATCTCGGGGAGCCTCTCTAGGGTTCGCGTGGACGATGCGATGTGAGGCGCGAAAAAAAGGAGGTGGGTGACCTGAGGTCCGACGAATGCGAATACACGTCGTTAATTTCTGATCGTGCTCATTTCTAAGTGTGCTTGTTTCTAATTATTCCTGGCCCCGTAGTGGCCAGGAAGAGGCCCAGGATAGAACGATTAGAAATGAAAGGACCTTGGCACCGCCGACCCCTTCAGGATCATCGGCGTGTGAGACGTTTCCCCCTCCCCAAACCCCTCCCCTGGGAGCCCAGTTCTGTTGATTTGGAGGGGGGGTGCGGGGTCCCCCAGGATCCGGCTGAACGCACCCGGGGGGACAGAGGGCCCCCAAACAGGCGAAGAGGGCACCAAGAGGCCCATGGGGCGGTCCACGAGGGCCAAGAGTCGCTGAAAGATCGATACACACCGCCCACGCTGGCCTCCAGACGGCCTAAGAGGCCCCCAAGACGCCCCAAGAAACCCCAAAGGCGTTCAGAACGCCCCAGACGGCACAAAAGACCTTCAAGTTCGCCCCAAGACGGGCCAAGAGGCCCCCAAGGGCTCCCACAAGACCGTAGAAGCTCCCAAGACGGCCCAGGAGGCCCCCAGGACAGCCCCATAAGGGGGCCCAGCCGGAGAGAGAGGGACGAGGAGGGACAAGAGCCGGGGAGGGAGGCGGGGCGGGGGAGATGTACAGATACAGGAGATCTTCACGAAGAGTCATGGGGCAGTGAGAAGGGGCAACAGAAAGGCGAAAACGGTGAGGAGCAACGGGCGAGGAGCGTGGAGCGTGGTGGAGCGTGGAGCGAGCGGCACGCCACTCTCCCAATGGCCTCGGCGCGCATGTAGCAGAGCACCTGATCTCATTTTGCGTCGCTCATGAGGCTCTCTCGGGGCCAACTTGTTGCCTCGTTTGGGGCTCCTGGAGCTACCTTGGGGTGTCGCACATCCTGGGGCCATCTGAGTGCTGTTGCGGGGAAGTCCTGGGGCGTTCGCTTGGGGTGGGGGTGGGGGTGGGGGAGGCTTGGCGCCATATCCTTGGGGCGTCTTGGGGCTGTCTGAAAACAACCTTTGGGCTGTCTTGTGCCCTCTGAAGGGCTCCTGTAGACCCTTGGGCCATCTTGGGAACCTCCGAGCCTCCGAGGCTCTTCCTGCAACCGAATAGAACCGAAAAGTGAACAGTGTCGAACACATACGAAGACCGAGCGGCTTTGACTATGTCTCACGTGGACCGAACGCGCAGCCATCCCGGAGCCTCTCGGGGCCACCTCGCCATTCTCTTGGGGCGTCTCCGAAGCTCTCTCGGGCCGTCTGGGGTCCTCGGAAGGCTCCACAGGGCCGTCTGGGGACGTCTTGGGGGCGGAGCGGGACACTCTGGGGTTCTCAGGCCTGCTCGGGGAAGTGCCTGAGGGCGTTCTTCAGGATCCCAAAGGGCTCCCACACCAAGCTCGGTCCCCAAACACTTCTCGCATGCAAGGGGTCCAATAACGTGAAGGAGACTCGGGTGAACACTGGATCACGTGCACACGAGCTCGAAACAAATACGGGAAGGAGGAGGAATAGTACCTGTTTCCTCTGCTTCTTGTTTCTCCTCCGCGCACTCCCTCGCTCGCGGGGGTCCAACGTGAAGCAATCCCCTCATGGCCCTCGCTGCCATTTCTAGCCTGGCACAAAAGAAACGCAAGCCTCTCAGGTCATGGCACCTTGTGATGCATCGAACGTGCGTACACATGTCATGCTAACTATCGGCCAATACCTACACTGCAAATTGGGTATAACTTGTACGCGATGGTTCTCCTCGGCCGCGTGAAGAACGCAAGGGCAGATATAACCTGGGTCGCGCAATTCGGAACACGATCAAGACACGTTACCATAGATGCGCTGTTCGTTGCTCGCAGGTTGATTGAAGACACCTGGAATTCGAATTCTGGCGAACTGATTCTGCTGGCGCTGGACTGGGCCGAGGCGTTTGACAACGTCTCGCCAGTCGCTCTGGTGCGGGCGCTCGTCCGTTTCGGCATCCTGGGTCATTTCGCCGAGGCAAGTCGGGCTATCTACACGGAGAATTATTTTCGAGTGAGGGAGGCGGGCCACAAGTCCGAGCCATGACCACAGGCCTTCGGCGTCTCCAGGGCTGCCCTTTGTCGCATGACGGCCCTCATGCACGACGCGAGGCGGGCTCGCCAAGCCAACGGTTTAAAGAAAGACGCCCAGATACCCGTCAACGAACCCATCTACGCCGAGGATACTCTGGTCTTTGGAGTCTGCGATGACTATGTCGGTGGAGCCGTAACAGGTACACACCACCTCACCCCAAGTGAACCAGGCGAGGGGGGAGGGGGGATGCAAAGAGGAACGCGCGTATAATAGATTGAGCCGCGTTAGGAGTCGCCTTGGCCGTTCAGGGGGCTGCCTCGAAGCCCTCAGGATCAGAAGCACAGTGCCGTGCTGGGAGCGCGCACTGGGGTGTCCATGTGCTGTCTCGAGGCTTTCTCGGGCCGTGTGTGGCGCATGTGTCATCGGCAACGTTGAGAGCATGTTGGGCTACGGGCCATGCCGCGGAGTCTGGAATTGAAGGGGCCCTGGGACGCACAAACAAATAGACACAAATAACAGGATTCCCTACATTTTCCGATATCTTCGGAGTTTTTTGTCTTCCCCCCCACCTACCCATCTTTATACATATTTTCTTGGGAATCGACGATTAATTGTGTCTGTGTGTTTTTGTTCCCTCCTGTGTGTTTCTTTCCCTCCTGAGAAATGCGAGAAGCTGCTTGCCACAGAAGCGAATGTTTTTTCCAGGAAGCTTCGATTGCTGCGGCCCGTGGGCTTCGCGGAGGCTCTGCAGGCCTCTCCCTTGCACTCCTAGAGGCCTCCTAGATGGGGTCCGAGTAGATGGGGTCGAAGGATCTCGCCACATCGCCGATACATCGGCGATGCATCGGCGATGCATTGGCGATGCATTGGCGATGCATCGGCGATGCACCGGCGATGCATCGTCGACGTGGGCGATGCATCGGCGCCGTCGACGTGAAGCAAATCGGGCCCTTCATCGAGCCGCATCGGCGATACATCGGCGATGCGGCGCGATCCTCCGACCCCATCTACTCCGACCCCATCTAGGAGGCCTAGAACTCCATGCGGCCTGAATCGGGGTCCTGGCCTGTCTGGAGATCTCCCAGCACATGTTCGAGGGCCTCTGGGGCCCTCCCGTCCTGGCAGCGTCGTTGGCCCCCACTGGGCCGTCTTGGCGGACCTCTCGGGCTCCGTCTCGACGGAGGAGCGAGCGGCCGGTGGGACTGCGCCGCTGAAGGATCTCTGGGCCAGTCTCGGAGATCTGCCTCTCTGGCACGCGCAGCGCCATGCCATGTGGTACAGACAATGACGTTGGGATCCAACTTCGTCTCCCGCATCTCACTGATTAGCGCCAGAGCCCGCTGCCATTGCTCGCCTTTCTCGCATGCGCTAATCCCACCACTATAGTTGACGACATCAGGATCCAACGTCACCTCCCGCATCTCACGGAGCAGCGACAAAGCCCGCTGCCACTGCCCGCTTTTCTCGCACGCGCTAATCCCGCTACTGTAGGTGACTATTGTGAACCCGTGGGTTAAACATCCACACGGACTAGCAGCCGAGCGTGCTTACTTTGTGCATGCAGCGTGCTGGTCTCATGGGCTCAGGGAGTCTGCACAACCTGCGGTGATATTGAACAGACCAGGATCCTGAAGAGATCTTGTGGCCAGCTCGGCTCCTGCTTGGGCCCTGCTTGAGGCGCTCTTGGGCGCTCGTAGGGACGTCGTGGGCCCTGTTGGGGCTACTTGCGCGTCACTTCGAGGTTCCCGGGGGGCTTCTGGGCGTGGGGGGCAATCTGGGCAGCTCTTGGGACCATGCCGGGGCGGCTTCGGGCTGTTATGGAGCCACCTCGGGGCTGGCTGTGGAGACCAGGCGGGGCAGTCCTGGGCCACCTTGGGAGCAAATGAGGCGCGCTGTCGGAGGCCTGTGGAGCCCATCGTCGGAAAAGCCTTTGGCTGTCATGTAGCCGCCTCGGGGCCGCCTTGGAGGCTAGGCAGGGCAATCCTTAGCTATCTTGGGAAGAGCTGATGCCTCCTGGAGCGTCTTGGAAGCCTCTTCGGCGCTGTCAGGAACCTGTGTAGCCCATATGGATGCGTCCCTGTGACAGAAGGTGGGTAATGTGAGAAATGGTGATAGAACCATTCGGCTTGCCGCTTTTTTGAACTGCGTGGCGGGTCTCCGCGGCTACTCTTGGGGCCTCGTAAATTATCTGGAGGCTGTCGGAAAGGCCCCTGGGACGTCTGGGGGCCGTCGAGAAGGCCTGTTGGGCCATCTTGAGTTCTCTTCGCGGAACACTTGGAACGTCAGATGGCACTCACATGGGTCTCTTCGGGGCCACCTTGGGGCCATCGGGTCCCTCCAGGACCGTCTGTGGGCCGGCCGGGACGATTTGCCCTCCCTCGGGGCCACGGGTCCTGCTCGTTTCCCTGGTACGCGCTGCACCCGGTATTGTAGAGAAGAGTGCCCATGAATCATACCGAGGTGGGCAGCGCCATCCTGTTGCTTCTTGCTCTTTGCTGCTTCTGCTTGCTGATGATGTCGTTTACTGTTGGCCGCTAGTTGCAACTACTTGCTGCTGCCTACGGACATTGCTTAATTGCTGCTTGCTGATTACTGCCGCTCACAGTTTCTGATTGATGCTGCGTATGCTTGCGCTGCTGGTGCTTGCTGGTGGTTGCCTCTTCTAGCTGATGATGCTAGGTCTTTTATTACAGCTGCTTGCTTTCTGCGTTTGTTGTCTTGCCCGATCCTGCCCCCTGATGCCCTACGTATTGAAACTGCAGCAAGGTGCTCTTGCGTTTCCTGCTCCTGACTGCTGGTGCTTGCCCTTTGGCTGCTGCTGCTATGCTAGCTCTACTGCTGCTGCTGGTTCTTATACTTGTGCGTGATGGGATCGCTTACTCTGCTCGCCTTGTCTTGATGCACTCTTAGGTGTATCTCGGAGCCTTCCTGGGCATTCTCGGACCCCTCGTTGGGAGTCTCTTCGGGTCATTTGAAGGCACTGGCACGGTCTATGCATGCCTGCACCCCTTGGGTGTTGGCATGCCTTCTGGAAGGGTCTGTGGGCCAGCGTGGGCGGTCTTGGGCCGTCTTGGAGCCGTGTTGGGCTATCTTATGATCGCCTTTTGCCCTCCTGTAGCCTCTTTTCAAACTTTTGCGGGGCCCTCTTGAAAGCCCCAGCACTTTCGGAATCAATTTGGAGCAGTCAACTGGAAAGTGCCACCTAATCCCACTAGACCTGTAGCGTGGGTGGTCCAACGAATTCTTTCTCTCTCTTCCAAAACCCCTCTTCCCTTCGGGGAGGCGTACCCTCCCCCTCCCCTCCCTGTGTTTTTGTGGGGGGTTGGCGCGGTGGCAGAGGGTCTTGTTGCGCCCGACATGGCTCCAAGATGGCCCCGATGTTCCAGAATTGCTTCCAAGTCGGCTCAAGATAGACGAATATGGTTCAAGATAGATTCCAAAATGCCACCTAGGAGGTCCCACGAGGGTCACAAAACGGCTCCAAGTGCTCCCGGAGCCCCCTCACGACCCCCCAAGGAGGCCCAAATCCTTCACACACCTAGTGAACATGAAGGATGTTCGCCTCTTCTCCTTTTCGTTTCCGGTGCGCCTTGGAGGCTTCAAGATGGGCCCAAGATGGCCCAAGAGAGCCTCAAGAGGGCCCCAAGAGGCCCCGCAAACGGCCCTGGAAGCGCCCAAATGAGCCTGGAAAGAGACCCCTGAAGACCCTAGATGACTGCCAGACCTTGTCCTCATCCTCCTCGTCCTCGTCTTCCTCGTCCTTGTCCTCCTCCTCTCCTCTTCCTTGTCCTCCGCCTCCTCGCCATCATTTTCGTTCTCTACTTTTCCCTGCATCCTCGTTCTCCTCCCCGCCCTCGTCTTCGTCCTCGTCCTTTTCTTTCTCGGTCTGTTCCTCCTCATCCTCCTTCTTCTCCCCCCCTCCCCCTCCTTATCTTTTCTTGTTCATACTGTATTGCCATTCTCATGATTATCATCATTATCCGCACTATTATTTATTGTCATTGTCCTTATTAGTCGTAGTCTTTTTATCATTCGTATTTCTCCTCCTCCTCCTCATATTCCTCCTCAGCCTCTCCCTCCTCCCCCTCCTCCTCCGCGTCGTCGTCATACTTCCCTCCCTCCGTCAGAGTCCTCACCCTCATCCTCGTCCGCCTTCCCCTCATCGTCCAAGCGACCCTCCAAGTCCTCTTCCTCCTCGTCATCATCGTCATCCTCGTTGGCCTCCGCGTCTTCGTCCTTTTCCTCCGCACCCTCGTTCTGCTCCCCGCCCGCCCTCGTCCCTCGCCCGCATAGTTGCCCGCCGTGGTTCACTACATGTGCCTCTTCCTCCGATTTGCCGTCAACTCTTGTGAGCAGCGCTTCTGAATGGGCTGGTGGGGATACTTGTTTTGGTCGGCGGCCCCGCGACAACGGTCTGGCGGCAACAGCGAAGCCCGGGGCAACGGAACACGGCAAATTACACGCGCGGCGTGGTGTGCACACGCACTGAGCAAAATGCTCCGCATTAAGTCGAACGCACAACGGCGCCAGCCACACCGAAGTGAGGCAGACAGCAATGCGAGTGCAACGGAGAAAGTCTCCCTGTCGGCGCCAAACTCCGAGCAGCCCTCCTAGCCGAAAGTGGGCAGGGAGAACCGAAGCGACAACGCTGAAGGCTGAACCACTCAGCGCGAGGTCCGTACCACCGCCGTACGCGGGGTCGGCGGAGACAGGGGCAGAGGAACGGCAGGGACCTACAGAGCACTCACTCCACGATCCACACCGCTGCCCGGGGGGGGGGCCGGTGTGTCAGTCATCGTCTCCGAAACCAGTGACAGGCCAGGGAAGCAACGATGAAAGAGGACACGCAGGCCCAAGAGCCGGTACACTGCCGCCAAGCGGGTATCGGCCACGAATGTCGCCGAAGTACGCTGCAGCCGCGACCAGCTCAGAGGCGCTGGAGCGCAGTCAGGGCTGAATCTGACCACAGAGTGGGCAGAGGAAACTGGTGGGGATACGCGAAGCGTGAGTGATTCCATTCAATCGCCTTTCACTGACATTCAACGACCCATGCTCGCCCGTCAGGTGCCCCGCAAGGAGCCAACTTGGGCTGTCCGGGGGTGCACTTGCCCGTCTTGGGCGTCTCCTGGAGGCTGTCTCGACGTTCAACGCTCGGCGGCTTCTCGATTGCCAGATCGTTTCGGAGCTTCGCGAGGATTTCGTGCATCGGCGATGGATCTCTGGCGGCGCCTCCGGCGCCGCCCCTGGCGCGCTCTGCGGGCCAGGGAGGTGGGTCCAGCGCCGATCCACCAAAAAATCCTCGCGGAGCTCCGAAAATTCATGTCCAGGCCGCTTTTGTTTGAAGATTGGCTGATTCTGAGCCAGTGGGGGCGGTTCATCTTGGACGTCCGCGGCGGGGTCGCTGCCGCGTCAGCACGACATGGACCTACCGTACCCCTAGCGCTGCAGGAACCGCACCAAGGCAGCCCGTGGCCGGCGCGGCCTCTGGCTGCAGCAAGAGGGGTTTCTTGCGGCCCGTTCTCGTGTTCGCGGCTCGCTCTCGTGTTCGCACGTGCCGGTCCTGGCACCCGTGCAGCGGCGGGGGCAAGAGGGCCAGCCCCGCGGATACGATCCACGGCCGACAGAGGAAAGGGTCTCGTTCAGGGTAGCCTGAGTCCGATAGCGTCGCGCCCTCGCGAGCTTCCCCCTGGAGAAGGCCAGTTCGCCGGCCCAGGCCGCGGCGGGCGAAGCGCGTTCATCTTCCCGTCCCTTGGGGTGACCTGGACAGCTGCATGCGGGAGCAGGGGGGGTGCGGAGGGAGTGCGATGGTGGAGCGTCTCGCGAAGAGAGCCGTCCTTGCCAGACTTCCTGAGGATTGCAGTCGCGGCGTCCGCATATCGCTCTTCTGTCCATGGCGTATTCTTCTGATTGGCCTGTCTCTCTCCTCCTCCTCCTCCTCCTCCTCCTCCTCCTCTTCCTCCTCCTCCTCCTCCTCCTCCTCCTCCTCCTCGTACCCTTTATCCGCCTTCTCCTGCTGCTCGGTCTCGAAGGCTGTCCAATAATTAGTGTTACTATGGTGGTTCCACGAACCTTATGGGGCCTCTTGTGGGCATCGCCAGGACCTCGGTGGAGACTGCTGGAAAAGCTCGGGAGCACGCGTGGGCTTCGCGGGATCCACGGCTGTTTTTGGGGGTCGTCCGATGGCCGTCCTGGGCCAACGTGAAACTCGAAAGGGGGGTTGCCGGGCGCCTCTTGGGGCGTTCTTCCCGAACCATACGAACTTCATACTTGGATCACATCGTTTCTTGGCACTACTCTGGATCCACAGCCGTGAAGGACCCTCCAGCGAAGAACGTGAGACATCGCGTCTTGAAGCGCGCGAGTCTTCACGGACTTGCATTCAGAACGTGCTGGCTGGCACCCACGCGGCGACGGCGCAAGCCTGCTTCTGAGTGTCTGGGGGCCTTCCTGAGGAGGAGGGACGAAGTAGGATCGAGGATGTAGGAGAGAAAGAGAGAGAGAGAGAGAGAGAGGGAGATAGAGAGAGAGGGCAATATATAACGATACAATACAACAACGAACAGAGAACGAGAGAGAGAGAGAGAGAGAGATATAGAGAGAGAGAGAAAAATAAACAATATATATATATGTAAATATAGATATACATAGCAACAGGAACATAAGTCAAATAACTGGAGGAGGATGACGTAAGGCTGTCGAGGAAGGAGGAACATGAGGAGGAGGAGGAACATGTGGAGGAGAGGAAGGGAACATTGAAGAGAAGACAAGGCGGAACGATCCAAGACCTCTTCAGGCTGTCCTTCGGGGCCTCCAGGGGTCCGTTTAGGGCGATCTGGGGAGGAGGGAGGGAGAAGTGAGGACGGATGAAGGAGGGCGGGGAGATGAGCAGGGAGTAAGAGGACGTCGGAAGAAGGAGGAGGGCAGGCAGACAGGGTGAAGGAGGCCGCCCTCTCTCATCTTCTGGTCTCGCTGGGGCCCCTTTGGGACGGCTCGGGGATCTGGAGGGGGCGTCTGGCTTGTCGGGCCGGCTTGGAAGCCTCGTGGAGCCGTCCTGTCCTGTTGGGGCCTTCGTCGGACGTCTTCGGAGGCTCCTTGGACGGCTGTCCTGGGGCCACTTGGGTGCCTCCGGGAGCCTGGAACATTGACAGCACCTCAGGGCAGTCAAGCAATGACAGACAACGCTTGTACTACACACATATCCGCATATACACATATGCATGCATGCATGCATGTGTGCATGCATGTATGTATGCATGCATGTATGCATGTATGCACGCATGTATATATACATATATGTATGTATGTAAGTAAGTATGTAAATATGTATGCATGCATGCATGCATGCATGCGTGCATGCATGTGTGTTTGTATGTGTGTATGTATGTGTGTGAGTAGGCATGCACGTATGCATGCACGTGTGTATGCATGTGCTCATGCATGTATGTATGTTTGTTGGCATGTAGCTGTAGGCATGCACGATGCATGTATGCATGTATTTTTGTATGCACGTATACATACAGGTGTGTATATATAAATGATGATTTATTTATGTATACATATACATGTGTAGATATACGTGTTATAAACACGTGCATAGCTCTGTCTATATGCATGACTATATGTATACGTGCATACATGCATGTGTGTATGTGTGTGCGCACTGTGTCGATATATGTTGTTTTTAGTGGTGTTGCATAGGGTGCCTTGGGGAACTAGTCGGCGGGGCCTCTGGAACTATGTTTGGGACAACTTGGAGGCTCCAGCGGCTCTCGCAGGGGCTGGGCTCGGAGGGTCTCGTCAGGGGTTTACGTTGAGTTCCCTTGCGCCCACAGGTCGCCGGGGGGCGGGAGGTCGCTGAGCGGGGAGCTCGGGAGTGCGCTGGGAGGGCCTCATACTCCGAGGGTTGCCACACCGCGCAATCGCAAAACTGACTGCCGACCTCTCTCGCACACACAGGGCCCAGCATGACTGTACAAATCACGTCGAGCTCCAATTTCGCCTCCCACATCTCACTGAGCAGCGCTAAGGCTTGGTGCCATTGGCAGCCTATTCCACATGCGCTGATCGCAGCACTGTAGCTGATGACGTTGGGCTCCAGTCTCGCCTCCCACATCTCCCTGAGCAGCAACAGGGCATGCTGCCACTGCCCATCTTTCTCACACGCGCTGATCACAGCACTGCAGCTGATGACATTGGGCTTCAATGTCATGTCCCCCATCTCGCTGAGCAGCGACAAGGCCTGCTGCCATTGCCCGTCTTTTTCGCACGCGCTGATACTAGCGCTGTAGATGACTTGTGCGGACCAATGAGTTACCATCCGCCCTCGCGGATACCCGAGGAGAATAGCTAGCCCCAAACGCACACGACAAAGGAACCAACACTTGGTCTGGGACGCAAGCGAAGTGGCGGAGGATGTGACACCGCAGGCTCCAGCATCTTAGAATACATTGGGGTGGCGAACTCGTCTGAGGCAGCACGTGCCGATACGAGTGCGTCGCTGGGAACCCTCAAGGAGGAAACGATCCAATCAACACAAAGGTGTTGGACATCGAGTCTCCCGTGCTCGCTCGACAACGTGGGGCTTGGGAGAATCGGGGGGGGGGGCATATCAAGGAGGGCCTTGGGTACATGATCCAATGAACCTGGGATACACTTGAGGGTGCTCTTGGGACCTCTTGGGCATCAAGCGCCGTCTTGAGGCTGTCCTCGGCACTGCCTGGCGGGCTGTCTGGGCTCGTCTTCGAGGGGGGTGGTCTTGAAACTCCCTGACATCGTCTCAAGGCCGTCTGGGGCCCGCCTGGGAGAAGAGATCAAGGAACCCATCGACGTGTGACAAAGGGGGGCGGGGTGGGGCTCTTCCCGATCTCTGGGGGGCCTTGGCGCAGCCCTCAACGGCGTCAGGCACTGCCCGAGGGCGTGCGATGGATAGCCTAGGGGGCCCCTCAAGGCGCGCCCTGTGCCTGCCCTGGGCACTCTGGGGGCCGGTTGAGGCCAGCTGGGCACCTCCTCTTGCCGTGCTGGGGCATCTGGACCCGGAGCCACTCATGGCCGTGCTGGGACAGGCTGGAGGCCTCATGCGGGTGGAGCGGGGGGGCGTCGGAAGCCCGTTTGGGGCCAGCTTGGCACCTCCCCTGGCCGTGTTGGGGCATCCGTCTGTGTCTGGAGCCACTCATGGCCGTGTTGGGACAGGCTAAGACCTCCTGTGGGTGAGTGGGGGTGCGTCGGACGCCCGTTTGGGGCCACCTGGGGGGGGGGGGCTCTGTCTGGAGCCACTTCATGGCCGTGTTGGGATAGGCTAAGACCTCCTGTGGGTGGAATGGGGGGGGCGTCGGATGCCCGTTTAGGGCCACTTAGGGCCGTCCAGGGTTCCGGGGAGTGCCTCCGCCGACGCCCGCTGGGTTGCGGCACGGAGGACGGACCTGCAGAACTGATGACGTCGGGCTCCAGCTTCGTCTCCCTCATCTCGCTGAGCAGCAAGAAGGCCCGCTGCCACTGCTTGCCTTTCTCACACGCGCTGATACCGGCACTGTAACTGAAGTAGGACTGGCCCGCTGAGCGCTGTCCGCGAGAGCGTGCCCGCATGCAAGAGTGGGGCTGGCAGCATACGCAACACACACAGCGCATCGCAACATAAGGCTGGATAAGCTCGGTCGTAGCACAGCGCAACTTCTGAAAGGACACTACTGTCTGCGGTGTGGCGCAGAATGGCAGGGAATACCATCGTCACGATAACGTCCTGGCACCACATCGGTGGCTTCTGCCGTTTACCGTCGTGTGCTGCCGTCCGCTGCTGCTTGCTGCTGTTTGCGATGGTTTGCCGCTCTTTGTAGTTGCCTGCTGCGGCTTATAGTTGCTGCTTGCAGCTGCCCGCTGAGTGCTGCCAAGTGCTGCTGTTCTTGGGGCCCTCGTGGGGCCCGTTTGGCCGACTGGGGCGACCTGCACCGTCGTCGCCCAGGGTATCCCGCCCATGGGATCTTGGGCTTGGCTGCCCGTTGCTGTTTTTTTCTTGGTAGTTTTCATTATGGCTACTGCCTCTCCTCATGCAATATCCCCCCCCATGCTCTTTCCCTTGTCGTTTACAGAAATACTACGTACTTGCACCAGTCTGTTCTGACTTGCTTAGTTAATGGCTGTTAATTCTCACGACAACCACTCCACCATCGATCGCTGCAACACGCTACAACACGGGTGCGCCGCAGTTGCCTTGGAGGAGCACCAAGTCAAACAGCAACGCTGCCCTGTGCGCATGTGTTTGGCAGATGTCGCTGCAACGTTGGGCCCTGACCGTAGGTTCCTGAACTCAATTGCCCTGGGCGCTTGGGTCCAGCTGCCGTCGTCGTCTTCTCCGTCGTCGTCGATCGGGTCCAGAATCCTAAGCTCGCTTGCCTTTCGCGCGTGCGCTCAGCCGCCACTGTCGCTCATCGCTTTGCCCCCGCCCACACGGCCCCAGGCTCAGGTGAGGTATGCGCGGGTGTCCTGCGCCGTTGTCGTCCATGGGAAAGCGGTGGTTGCCCACAAGGGCTCGCCCGATGAGGCTGCCCCCTCAGCTGTCCTTTCTGCCCCCTTGAAGCCTTGGGGACCCACACCCCAATATTATTGGACCGGCAAGCCTGGAAAAGCTGCGCCCTCTCTTGGGCCTTTCCGGGCCTCTGCTGTGGCCTCTCGTGCGCCCAGTGTGGCCTCCCGAGGCCGTTCGGAAACATCTTCGGCCGTCGCTGGGGGCCCCCAAATGGCCCACAGCGACCCGCCTGTGGTCCTGGAAGCCCCCAAGTGCGCTGGGGCCTCCGGAACCACTCACGACAGGGGGCCGCTCCCGAGGCGCAGGGCCCAGAACTGTAGAGATTAGGGGATGACGCTGGGCCTCAGCTTCGTACCCCGCATCTCCTTCAGCAGCAGCAGGGCCAGCTGCCACTGCTTGCCTTTGCCGCAAGCGCTGATCCCAGCGTTGTACAGGACGACGCCCGCCACCTTCGTTTCAAGATTTTCGCGGAGAAGCGACACCGCCTGCTGCCATTGCCTGCGTTTTCCAAGTGAACAAATCGAATCAATGAGCGCGCCCGAACTTGTCGCGCATGGCCGAAACGCGTCGTTGAAAACTGGCAGCGCTGTGCTACCCTGCGTTGTCATCCCCCATGCCTTGGGCACTACACCGAAGGACGAAAACACATGTCAACATCACTGCTGGATCTCTGGCGCACTGTGAAGTCTCGGGCCCGAATGCTGCTTCAACTAACCGTTGTCATGGGTCCTGACTGCTCGAGCCGCAAAGCTGGAACCAGCATGGGTATGAGGGAGATGGAGATACATGGTGTAGGAGGGGGTGATGGGAGAGGAAGGAGACTCGATGAGGCCGACGAAGATAATGAGTCACACAATGAGTCCCGCCAGCCCTTGAAGGCGCAAGTGGTTTAGAGCGGTTCCTCTTCCTACCCCCTTCTGCCCTTCAGGGAAGGGTTTACAACTGCTCCTTGTAGTGTACCCCCCCCGCCCGACCCGACCAGCGAGAAACCCGGGCCAAGGCCAACGCCCCGCCCGCGCTGCCCAGGCGCTGCCCAGGAACTGCTTGGGAGTTGCCTAGGCGCTGCCGGCGCTGTCCAAGCGCTGCCCAGGCGCTGCAAATGCGCTGCTCATCCCTTGCGAAAAACGATGCTAAATGCACTTTGCACAAACATCTGGATCATGCGCGGACTCCCCGCGATCACTTTGCACCGGTTTTTGACAGGGCAGGTGGGGGGGCCGGCATATTGCTTGCTGTGCGCAATGGCACCCCTCCAAACCGTCACTTGCAAAAACAATCTAGAATGCACCTTGCACGTTGCACGGGCTGGCATGTTGCCTGCAGTGCGCAGGCCCAGTTTCAACGAACATGTTACGAATTTACGTTGCATGTGTAGAGAAGGCCTCTTCTGCTACCCAGCGCCTCAGATTGTGAGTGGTTAGCGGTGCCAGCCAATCAGACAGATAGGGCGGCGCCGCCTTGAACAAGAGCGGCGGCGGCCGAGCTATACATATATATATATATATATGTTTGTGTGTACATATATGTATACAAGCATGGCGCAGCACCCCCACAGCACCCATTCATTTTGCATCGGTCTTTGACCTCTCCATTCGTACTCTTACTGATCAGCTGCCTTCTTGTCATCCGCGCGCGCTCATCCGTTTCTCCTGTTCGTCATTTCTCCGCTGCTGTCGCGTGCAGGGATCTACTTGGAGTCAGCTGGACTTAAGACCTGCTCAATTCAAATAAGATTCGAACGATATTCGCATACTAATCAAATTGAACACAACTAGATCTGGGAACTGGTCAATTCCACTCAGATTGTAATTCGGCTTCAATTTGGAAGCACCTGGAATCAGCTGAATCTGGGATCTGCTAAGGTGCCCAGTTCCAACCAGACATAAATATATTCCAATCGGGATCCACTTGTAATCAGCTGGTTTGGTGCGATTTCAATTCCATTCGATCCAAAACAAGCGTCCACTCGGAACCAGCTGTATATGGGATCTGCTCCATTCCGAAGAGCTTCTAACTCGACCCCAAGAGGAATCAGATCGTAACCAGCTGGGCCTCGGATCTGCACAATTCCAATAATTTTCGAAATCAATTTCAATAGTGCGGCCCAGAAGTCGCTCCACGTCGGCCCCGCAGCCCTTCGATGCCAGATGATCGCCAAATCTTGCGATTTCACCCGGGTTCCTGGGGTTTCTGGGATGCAAATCCACGAAGACCTGTGATTTCACTTGGATTCCGGGGATTCTTGGGAGGTCAATCCTTGGAGCAAAACCAACCGTGTGATCCCCAGGAGGTCCAGGGTTCAGAATCCGAAGGGCCCTAATGAAATCACAAGGTTCGCGACGTCGGTGATGCGCAAACCCTGCGATTGCTTTGGGATTGTTGGGCTTTCAGTGGTGTAAATTTACAAAGATTTGTGATTTTATTATGATGTTTGTGGCTCCTGGGATTTCAAGCCCTTGGAGTAAAATTAACCTTGGGATTCCCAGGATGTCCATGGCTCAGAACCCCAGGACTCACAATGCAATCGCAGGGTTCGCGACGTCGGTGATGCGCGAACCCTGTGATTGCATTGGGGTTCCTGGGATTCCTGGGCTGCAAGTCGACGAAACGACGAAACCCTGTGATTTCAGTGAGATTCCAATGGCTCCTGGGATTTCAAGCCTTGGAGCAAAACCAACTTTGGGATCCCCAGGAGGTCCCAGGCTCAGAATTCCAAGAATCCCACTGCAATCACAGGGTTCGTGACGTCGGTGATGCGCAAACCATGTGGTGTCACTGGGAATCCTGGGATTTCTGTGATGCACATCCACGACACCCTGCGATTTCAATGGGATTCTTGGGGTTCCCGGGATTTCCAGCCCCAGAGCAAACACAAACTAAGAACCCTGGCGTCACAGAAGGCCAAGGCTGGAATCACAGAAATCCAAATAATCACATTGAAATCGCAGGGCTTCGTCGATTTACATCCCACAAACCCAAGAGTCCAAATCAAATCGCATGGTTTGCGCATCGACGGCGTCGCGAACCCCTGCGATTTCACTGGGGCTCCTTGGGTTCTGACCCTTTTGCTCCAGGGTATGAAATCCCAGGGACCCCAGGAATCCCATAGAAATCGTAAGGTTTCGTGGATCAGCATCGCAGAAACCATAATATCCCAATTGAACCACATTGTTTGCGCATCGGCGGCATCGCAAACCGGGTGATTTCACTGAGATGCCTGGGATTCTGAGACCTGGACTTCCTGGAGATCCCACGGTTGGTTTTGCTCCAAGGTATGAGATCCCGGGAACCCCAGGAACCCCAATCAAATCACAGGGTGTCGTTGGTTTCCATCCCACAAATCCAACGCATGGGTTGCGCCACACCGACGGCGCGACCCTTGCGGGTTCACCGGGGTTCCTTGGATTCTGAACCGTGGACCCCCTGGGGATCCCAAGGTTGTTTTTTTGGCTCCAGGGTATGATATCACAGGAATCCGAAGCGCCCGAATGAGATCACAAGGTTTCGCTTGCTTGCGTCCCAGAAATCTCAGGAATCACAATGCAATCGCATGGTTTGCGCATCGCCGACGTCGCGGACCCTGTGATTTCATTCGGTTTCTGGCGTTTTGAGCCCTCGACACCCTGGAGACCCCAAGGTTGGTTTGGCCTCTATGGTACGAAAGCCCAGGAATTCTAAGAATCCAAATCAAATCACACGGGGTGTCGTTGGTTTCTATCCCAGAATTGACAGGAATCCCAATGACATCACATGGTTTGCGCATCACCGACGTCGCGACCCTTGCGGTTTCATTGAGTTTCCTGGGATTCTGAGCCCTGGACCTCCGGGGGATCCCAAGGTTGGTGTTGCTCCAGAATATGAAACCCAGGAATCCCAATGAAACCACGGGGTTTCGTTGGTTTGCGTCCCAAAATTCCTAGGAACCCTAATGAAATCAAAGGGTGTGCTGGTTTCTCGTCTACAAGATGGCTCACGCGCTGGTTGTCCTCTATGTAAAGGAAGCAGAAGCTGACATCTGTCACGTTGGCGCTTACCGCTGGCGGATGCGGGTGAACAGCGAAGATGAAGAGGAGCGGAGAGGGAAGGGGGAAAGGAGGGGAGCGGCACGACTCCAGCCTTGTGGAAAAGGAGGACGGCGCAGCACGGGTGCTGGGGACGGGGGGGAGCTGTATATGTATGTTTGTGTGTATATATATATACATCTATATATATATACACATATATATATATGTATATATATGTATGTATATATATATATATATATATATATATCGAGAGAGAGGGGGAAACAAAAACAGAGAAAGGGAGAGGGAGAGAAACAGAGAGAACGAGAGAGAGAGAGAGAGAAAGTGTGAGAGAGAGGGAGCTCTGTATATACACATATGTGTATATGGATGCATGTGTATATGGAAAAATCGGATGCCCTCAAAGTCGAGGCGTGGTGGGACCATAATCGACCGTCGCCTCCTGGTATTTAAATCCAAGGCAACGCTAACACGAAGCAGAAGAGTTCGGTAGCCGAAAGCTTCGACCACTGATGCATTGCATAGAAAAGGCGGGGGTGCGTGATGCTAGGTGTTTCCTTGAACATGGCGGCTGGGTACCAATGTGTGTGGGCAGAGACAGGCTTTTACATGCAGCGTGGGCAGAACCGACCAGGGGATTGGCCATGAACGCCCAGGCGAAAATAACAATGAGTGAGGCCGCGATTCCGTGACAACAGCACGGCGCAAAGCGTACAATCGCGATTCCACGACAGCAACGTGCACGGGAACGTGGCAACGGGGGGGCGCGAAAACTTAACGCGGGGCCAGAAAGAGGGCCACCCCCCTCCCCTCTGAATGGCACGCCAGACCTTTCGGGTGTAGCTGAATGGCACGCCAGACCTTTCGGGTCTATTGCGGCGCGCGGGCAACAACAGCAGCCATCTGTCGGCGATGGGAGGTTAGATGCCTCGATAGGGGGCGTGCGATTTGACTTCGTGCGTGTATCTCTGGTAGCTGGCCACGGCTTGCAGAAACAGGCCGCGGTCGATAGTACCCTTGGAGTGGTCATCTGCCGTCGTGTCACGGATGTCGCACAACTGCGCGTTGTTGATAATGCCGAGGTCTGAACTTCTCGCATCCAAACACCATGGCAACGTCTTCTCAACAAATGGTTTCAAATCCTTCCCGGGAAAATGCTGGCGCGCAGATCCGGCGACAATCGTGGAGGCACCGTATCCACTTTGAGCTCAGAGTGTTTCAATGAGTTCATGCAATGTTACCAGAGTGGGGCAACAATCCTCCAGACTGCGAGCGGCAGCAAGTGCTTCGGCAGCGCAGCTGGAGCTGACTTCCAGACGATGAACTTTATTGAGGCTGTCGACGCTCTGAGCGCCCTCGTCTTTACTGCTCGTATGCCCACGGCGCAGCAAATTGTACGCTCCAAGGCCGTAGCCTTTGGTATCGTCGTTCTCTTCACTGGTGACCTTCCGATACCCTGAGTGGCTGTGCAGGTCTACGGTGCCATCAGGGGCCATGGCTTGGTAGATGGTCATCGTCTTGGGTTGCTGCCACAACTGGCGGGTAGGGGGATTCATGCGTCTCGCCTGGATATTTGTCGGTGCCAGGGTATGGTCTCATCGTTGGGTAAGCGTGGAGTGCGCGAGGGCTCCACGCAGGCTAACAAGCACGTCGCTGACAATCTTACTGGCCTTTGGTTCTGGAGAGGCGCCTACAAGACCAATATTTGCAACCGGGCGTATATTTGTGACGGTCACGTCCTGATCCATGAAAACATATTTCACGTCCGTCCCGTTGTAAATGTCCGCGCAAATCGTGTGGGTACGTTCGTTCAACTTGCACTGACCAAGGACCTTTTCGACTTGTTTGGCGTAGGCATGTATGTGGGGCGCTTTGCCAAACGCATGAATGTCATCCACGCGCTTGGCTGTGAGCAGGTACTTCGTGGCCTCGAGCTCCCGATCGTAAGACAGGGGCTTGGCTTCGATGCTCTCCGTCGTCTTTTAAGCTTGGAAGAGACGGCTCGAGGGACATGTTTGGTACCTGTGCTGGGCATGTGGTAATTTGGGCAGCGTCGCAACTCGTCGTCTTCCTCGGAAGCGGGCAGGGCACGGAGCAAACGAGCACTGTCAGGAGGCATAATGAAACGCGCGATGCGTTCCTGTTCTCCTGTGGCATCGGCCATTTCTCGGCATGTATGTGAAGAAAGCCTTTCGCGTATCTGGATTGGCCAGGATTTAATCCAAGTGACATGTTGCCCCACTTGCCAACAAGCGCCGGGAAGTGCGTCGCGCCGTTCCAAGAAATGTCTCTGCGGATGAAACAACTCTCGGTCCGTGGGGCCCCGTAGTAACATGGGAAGACGTATCATATGTCGCATTGTTTCTGCATCTGCCGTTGCACATCCCCATCCGGGTCCCAAGAGGGATCTCTGGTTTGATACCCTTTCGCTCTCGCATCATGTGGGCGAGGGGAATGCCTATGGCGGTGGCCACGAGCCTACAGATGATGATGCCCAAGTAGTGGAGGCGGGAAGTGTGGACGTCGGAGGCGGCGGTTATGGAGAGGGAGCCAGTCGTGTTTCCATGACCGGCAGGAACTTCAACAAGAAGTTCGCGAGCCGGCGCTCTGTAATCTCGGAGAGGGGGTAGCCGTTCGCGTTCCCGTGATCGATGGGGATGGGGTCGTTGATGATTATGGTAATGATGGGGGTGGTGGTGATGATGATGGTGTTGGTGAAGGTGGTGATGATGATGGTGATGATGATGATGATGATGATGATGATGATGATGATGACGATCATGATGATGGTGATGATGACCAGGGGAGTCGAACATGGGAGAGAGAGAGAGAGAGAGGCAGGAAAAATAGTTCAAACAGATTAGTGGAGGAAGAATCACGAGGTGAAGGAATTGGTGGCTGCGGGTGTGACAGTCTTATTTCCTCCCCTCTTGCTCGCCCTCTTCCTCCTCCTCCTCCTCCTCCTTCGTTTCCATCTCGTCCTGGTTCGCTCCCTCCCGCCTCCTCCTCATCGTCATTCCCTCCCTCACTCCCTCCTCCCTCTCCCTCGATCCCGTACTCCTCCTCCTCACTCCTCCTCCTCCTCCTCCTCCTCCTCCTCCTCCTCCTCCTCCTCCTGCTCCTCTTCTCGTCCTCCTGTCCCCCTCCTTGTCCTGTCCATCTCTCTCCCCTTCCGCGGGCTCCTCATCCTCCTGTCTCCCTCCTCCTCCTCCTCCTCCTCCTCCTCCTCCTCCTCCTCCTCCTCCTACGTCTTCCATCCTCCCCCTTTTTGCCCTCCTCCTGTTTCTCTCTCCCGCTCCTGCATCCTTCTTCAAGCCATGTTGCTCCACATCCCCTCCTCATTCTCGTCATCCTCCTCTTCCTCCGCTTCCGCCTCCCCCTCCTCGCCGTTCCCCTCATTTTCCCTCCGCCTCTTCCTCCAACTCCCCCCTCTTCCGCCTCCCCCCTCTCATCCCCGTCCTCCTCCTCTGTGCTGGTTGTTGCCATCCTCCTCCTCCTCCTTTGGGCCCGACGTAGTTGCGCGGCTCCGAACCCAATCTTTTGTTTGCAAACCTCCGTGGATACCTCTTCTCCTGCGCCTCCTCCTGGTCAGAGAAGACAGCATGAGGAAGACGAGGAATAGGCAACGAGCTTGCTCTTCCTCTCCCTCCTCCTCCTCTCTCTCCTTCTCCCCCTCCCTCCGCATCATCCCATCCTCGTGTCCCCTGTCCTTCCTCCTCCTCCTCCTCCTTCTCGCCCTTCCTCCCCTCTCCAATGTACTCGCACTTTCTGGCTTCTGCTCCCTGTTGCTTCGCCTTCTACTCCTCCTCCTCCTCCCCCTTGCCCTTCTCTTCCTTGTCATCCCCATTGTCCCCCCCCTCCGTTGTACTTGCTCCGCTCGCAAATATCATAACGCGTTGTGGTTACGGAGTTGATACCGTATTGGGCGTCGGTTATTTGGTACGCGTCTTGTTTACGATGGCAACAGTTTCGGTGACTGATCTGTCTGACGTGTATGCGCCAATGTGATGCATGATCCTGCTCTCGCATCTGTCGCACTTAGTTGTTACGCAACCATACTCAGCAAGGACCCTCTGCAAACGTTTGTTGTCAGATATCAATGCCTGCCAAGCTGGAGAACACTTTCACATAGTATTGCACAACGGCACGTTCGACCAAGAACCAGTCTGTGCCCACCACAGGAAAGGTATCCATATGAACGCATGTGCTCAGACACCCTTACATCAATCAACTGCAGGGAAGCAATCGGGAAGCGGCCACATAACAACACACACACACACACTTTAAATATGCAACAGTGCCGATGCGTCACTTTGTCCAAACAAGGAGCGCATGATGCTAGCAGGGGGTAGCATTTTACAAGTCGGAAGAAGGTCGCCTCACTCATCTCGTTGAGCAACGACAAGACACCTTGCCAATGCTTACCTGTTTCACACGCGCTGATCCCGGCGTTGTAGATGACTAGGGCTGACCCGTGGACTCCGTCCACGACATCTTTCTGGAATGGTTCTCGGAGGAACGGCGCAGATTGTACCGAAAATCTGCAAACACGGCGGCGGCTCGGGCGGCGGCAGCGAGACCGCGCCTTCGTGTCCGAGCTCTTGCAGCGCTGCAGCAGCTTGGCCCAGCGCACTGCTCGTTCACCCCCCTCCTATTGAGGACAGTTTCGAAGTCTCTCGGGGATGTGCGTCGAAGTCGAAGCCCATCTGAGGCGTCTCAGGAGCGCTCGGGGAAGGGCTCGGGAGGCCATCGGGGAAAGCCACCGAAAGCGCCGGGGAGGCTCGCAAGGATCTACAGGGAGGGCCCAAGAGAGCTTCAAGAAAATTTGAAATCCAGTGAACTCTTAAGAGAAACCGCTGTTGGGTCGGCCATCACCTCCGGGCGCGCCTTGATGGTGCGATCCAGTCGCATCACCGCCAACGGGAGGGTTTGTTCGCCATGTCCCATTCTGTTCGCCCAGAGGGTCTGTGGAGGCCTTCGGGCGAACAGAACGGGACAGGGCAAGGAATGGGGAAGACATGTCCGAATCTCCTGGGCCCCCCAGATGCTCGTCCGAAGAATGCGGAGAGGTCCCAGGGTCATATCAATTGGCTGCTGTCCCAGGGGTCCGGTCTGCTTGGCCCGAAGAGTTTGCCAAGGCCCCTGGGGGAACAGAATGGCACAGCATATCGGGCAAAGGGGGGCGGTAGCTGGCCTGTCAGACCCGGCGTTCGTCTTCTGCCCAAGCGGCGCGGGGCCCACGGGCCCCAGGGTTGGCGTCCCGCTGGGATTCCTCTTGTTCGCCCACAGGGTTGGAGGAGGCCTCCAGGCGAACAGAATGGGGCAGGACAATGAATGTGGGAGACTTGTCGCAAGCTCCCAGCCCCCCCAAGTGTGCGCCCGAAGGGTGTGGGGCCGCGTTGGCTCCCTCAAAGGGCCGTCTTGGAGCCGTCTAGGCCCGTCTTGAGGGCGCCGTTTGCCCTGATGGGGCCGTCTTGGTTCGTCGTGGGCCCCTCATGGGCGCGTCCGTAGGCCGTCCTGGGCCCATCGGGGTCCTCGTGGGGCTGTCTTGGAGCCGTCTGGGACCGTGAGGAGGCCGCCTTGGAGTCGTCTTGGGCCCCTCCTGTGCGCCTCCTTGGGCCGTCCTGGGCCCAGCAGGGGCCGTGTTGGCACCCTCTTGGGGCTGTCTTGGAGCCGTCTTGAGCCGTCGCAGCGCGCCTTGGGTTGTGCTGGGTCCGTCTTGGCCCGTCTTGGGGCCTTCCTGGGCGGTTCCTCGGACCCTCCTGGGACTTTCTGGGGCCTCTTGGTGCATCGGACCGCCGAAACGGCGGGAAACGCAAAGGGTGTAACAGTAAACAATGGAAAATTAACGATTTTTGCCAGCTGGGACTCTCTTGCCATCTTGGCCCGTCTTGAGGCCCCGAACGGGCGCGTCCTTGGGCCGTCCTGGGCGCACCCTCCTGGGACCGTCTTGGAATCGTCTTGGGCCGTCTTGAGCGCGCCTTGGGCCGTCCTGGGCCGGTCTGGGGCCGTGTTGGCACCCTCGCGGCGAGGAAGCTCGGAGGTGGGCTCGAGGCCTCTTCGGGGCCATTTTGGAAGCTGTTGGGGCCTCTGTAGGGGCCTCGTTTGGGCTCCTTGGGAGCCTCCTGGGGCCTCTTCGGGGGATTCTTGGCGGCCCCTTGGGGCCTCTTGGGGGCCTGTTTGGGCCTCCTGGCGCCCTCTTGGGGCGGAAGGCTCGGATTTTCGGTCCGTGGTCCCCCTCTTGGCCCCCTCTTGGGCCTGTCTTCGGGCCCTCGTGGGCCGTCTTGAGCGTCTCTTGGGTCGTCTTGGGGCCCTCTTGGGCTGTCTTGGGGCGCTCTTGGAAACCTCTTGGGCCGTTCTGGGGCGCTCTTGGAGGCCTCTTGGGCCGTCTTCGAGCGTCGGAAAGCGGAAAAGGCGAGAAGGCCAAAATCCTTCCAAAACCGTCGTAAAGCGGACGATTTTGAGGCCCAAAACCGTCCAAAACCTCCTGAGGCGGTCCCCTCGTCCGCCCCCCTCGCTTCGAAGCAGTTTTTAAGCCCCGTGGCACCTCTTGGGGATCTCTTTTGGGCTCCTGGGGGCCTCTTGGGCCTCCACTGGATTCGCTGCCCTCGGTCGGCAATCGTCGATCCTACGACGACTCTCCCCAACGGAAAAACATCGAAGGCCCTCGGAGCGTCCAACATTGTTCTTTTGTGCCTTCGATATGCCGGTCGCCTCTCGTCCGCTCCCCCCCCTCCTGGAACCAATTCTGAGGACACTTGGGGCTTCGTGGGGGCCGTTTGGGGATCTCTTGGTGCGTTTTTGCCTGCGATATGCCTGTCGCCTCTCGTCCGCTCCCCCGCTCCTGGAGGGAATGCTGAAGGCACTGAAGGCTTCGTGGGGGCCGTTTCGGAGCCTCTTCGGCCTTCGTTTGGGCCTCCCGGGGGGGCTCTTAGGGCCCTCTCGGGCCGTCTTGGGTGCCTCTTGGGCCGTCGCCTCTTGGGCTGTCGTGGGCCGTCTTGGGCCGCTCCTGGGGCCGTCTTGGGTGCCTCTTGGGCCGTCTTGGGCGCCTCCTGGGCCGTCCCGGGGCCGTCCTGGGGCGTCTTGGGACCGTCTGGGGGCCCTCCTGGCCCGTCTTGGGGCTCTCTTGGGGTCCTCTTCGGCCGTCTTGGAGCGGTCGGGGGGGCTTCTTGGGCCGTCTTGGAGCGTCGGGAAGCCGACGAGGCGAGGAGGCCGAAAACATCGAAAAACACAGTAGAAATCGACGATTTCTGTCGCTCGGGGCCCTCTTGGGAGGCCTCTTGGGAGGCCTCTTCGGGCGTCTTGGACGCCTCTTGGGCCGCCTGGGGCGAATCTCGGGCGTCTTGGGCCCATCTTTAAGCGTGCCGGGGCTCTCCGGGGCCGTCTTGGGGGCTTCTGGGGCCCTCTGGACATGTCCTGGGGCCTGCCTGGGCGGCCCGGGGCGGCCCGGGGCCAGCCCGGGGCGGTTTTGAGACATTTGAGCCTGCGCCCTTCTGGCACGCACGTGCTCCTGCAATGTAGTAGAGACTAGGTCTGACCCGCGGCCTCCTGGCCGCGGAATCTGCCCGCCATGGTGTGGACCCCGCACTGGGGCCGCTCAGGAGCCCGGTGAACGGGAGGATTATCGATAGGACGCTGGAGTAACCGTCCATTTGGTTTACTTGGGCTGCGCGTTAGGAGCATTCTCGGGGTGTCTGGACACTCTTGGGGCCTTATTCGGGGCAGCCCGGGACATCTCTGTGGTTCATATCGGCTTTTGGGCCGTTTGGGCGCCCTCCTCCTCCTCCGCCCTTGGATCCTTCATCCCGTCGATCTTCGTTAGGAGTTGTCTCGGTCTGTCTGGATTCTCTTGGAGCCTCGTTCGGGTCATGCTCGGGACATCTCGGTGGCTTCTGTCGGGTTTGGGGGCCATTTCGGGTGTCGTCCTCCTCTTCCTCCTCCTCCTCCTCCTCCTCCTTTCCCCCTCGATCCTTCATCCTGGCGATCTTCGATCGTCAGTCGTCGACACTCCCCAAGAGACAAGCATCCAATGCCCCTTGGGGGCTGTTCGGGGGCTTTTTTTGTCCTTCTGGGGGTTTCTCGGAGCCCTCTTGGGTGCCTCTTGGGCCGTCTTGGGGCGATCCGGGGCCGTCTTGGGCGCCTCTCGGGCCATCTTGGGGCCGTCTGGGGGCCTTCTTGGGCCGTTATTGGGCGCTCTTGGGGCTGTCTTGGGTGCCTCTTGGGCCGTCTCGGGCGCCGCTGGAGCTTGTCTCTGTCTTGGGATGTGTTGTGGCCCTTCTGGGGGCGTTTTGGGGCGATCTTGGGGGCGTGTGCAGCCGTCTCGGAGACTGTGCAGACGAACTGGGGCTGGCTGAGGCTCCTCTTGGGGCGTCCAGGAGCCCTCTTGGAAAATCTCTGAGCCGTCTTGGGGCCTTCTTGGGCCGTTATTGTGCGCTCTTGGGGCTGTCTTGGGTGCCTCTTGGGCCGTCTCGGGCGCCGCTGGAGCTGTCCCTGGGCATTCGTGGTGCTATGTTTGGGCCCTCCTGGGTGCGTCTGGGGGCGTCTTGGCCGATCAGCCGTCTTGGAAACTGTGCAGACGAATGAAACAAACACAAGAACAATAACTAGACGTTCCCCGAAGGAAATGAAATCATGTTTGCCTCCTGGGGCTCTCCTGGGGGTTCTCCTGCAGACCGTCTCGGGAGCCTCCTGGCCTGCCTTGAAGGCCTCTGGGGCCATCCTGGGGCTCGCTTCGGGCTCAGGGTCCTCTCTTGGGGGGCGTCCAGGCGCCCTCTTGAGCGTCTATAAGACGTCTTGGGGCCGTCTTGGGGCATCTTTGGGCCCCCCCCGGCCGTCTCGGAGCGCCCGGGGGACTCGCAGGGCGCCCCGGAGGGCCGGGAAGCCTGTCGGGACAAAGGACCTTCTCGCACGACAAGGTCGCTGAATTACGGAAGAGACTAGGGCTGACCCGCGGACTCCGTCCACGACATCCGGCCGAGAGTATTCTCGGGGGAGCGGCGGGAATGCTGCCGAAAAGCTATCCACATGACTGTCTACCCCTCGGCTTCGAGGGTGCCTCTGGGTGCCCTCTTGGGCTCTCGTCGGTGCCGTTTGGGCAGTCTTGGAACCGACTTGGGCCGTCTTGGGCGCCTCGTGGGCCGGCCGGGGGATGTCTTGGACCGTCTTGGGCGGCTCCTGGGGCTGTATTGGGTGCCTTCTGGGGCCGTCTTGGGGCCGTCGTGGGCCGTGTTGGGCGCATGTTGGGCCGTCTTCGGGTCGTCTTGAGCCGTCTGGGGTTGTCTTTTGGGGCTGCCTTGGGTGCCTCTTGGGCCGTCTTGAGCGCCTCTTTGGCCGACCTGGGGGGCCGATCTTGGGCCGATCTTGGGGGTCTCTGTAGCCGTCGTGGACGCGTCGGAGACGAAAAGCACGAGAATGCCAAAAGAGCAAGTTTCTTTCGAAGGGGATGGGGCAATTGTTGTGTCTCGGGGTTGTCCTGGGAATCATCGAGGGCCGTCTTCGGAGGCTCTTGGCCTGCCCTGAGGGCCCTTGAGGTCGTCGGAGCGGCCTCTTGAGCGGCTCGGAATGCCCCTGGGGCCGTCGGGGTGGCCTCTGGAGCGGCTCGGAGCCGCCTTGGGGTCGTCGGGGTGCCCTCTTGAACGATTCGGAACAATCTTTGGGCCGTCGGGGCGGTCTCAAGAGCGTCTCGGAGCCGTCATGTGGCAATCAGGGCGCCCTCTTCGGCGGCTCGAAGCCGCCGTACAACACTCGGTGCAGATCTCGCACGCACTGTTCCCGGAATTGTAGGAGAGACTAGCGGCCTGACCTGATCTCATGATCGTCGCGCTCCCAGCGTCAACGAACGATTACTCGCATGCAAGGATGATGGTCGCTTGTCTGTTTGACCTCCTGTCCTGTCTGTAATCCTGGTACTGAGGCTACTGACCTGGTGGCCCGCAACTCGTGTTCTGATCGCCTGAATTATTTGCTGCTTGCTTCGTTGTTTGCTCGTCCGCTCGTTGCCACTTGCTGCGGGGTGCTGCTCGGGGCCGTTTTGCTGCCATATTGTCTGAAGGCCGTTTTCGAGGCGCGTCGGGCCAGTCCGAGGCCGTGGCGATCCGAAAATGGGGCCAGGGGCCAGGAGAAAGGCGCGAGGAGTGAGGATGAGTGAGGGAACATGGGCAAGGAGCTAGGAAAGGTCAGCGATGAGCTGTGGGCAAGGAGCCTGGAGCGAAAAGCAAGATTCGAGAAGGGAGAAGGGAGGGTGGAAGAGCGAGAGCGACGAGCGCGTCAATCTCCCGATGGCCTCGACGAGCGCGTGGCCGAACACTTGGTCTCCTCTTAGGTTGCGCATGGGGTCGTGTTAGGGTCAATTTGGGGCCTTCTTGGAGCCTTCTTTGGGGCCTCGCTCGCTCCCAGATGGCCCTCCCAGGCCTCCAGGAGCCACCTGGGCGGACCGTGGGGCCACTGGGAGCTGTTTGGTCGGGCCCAGGGCCGTCCGGTGGGTGCCCTGTGGCCATGTTGGAGCTTTCCTGGGCCGCCTTGAGCGGCGGTCGCCGCGCCACGTTGGCGGCCTCTCGGACCGCCACCTCGGGGCCCCCTTGGGGGCCTCCGGGGCCGTATTTCGTCGATCACGGGGGCTTCCTGGGCCGTCCTGTGCGTCCCAGCGCCCGCAAAAGCGAGAGTACAGGCATCTTTCCGAAACATTTGGGGAATCAGTCGGTTTGACTTGTGGAACCTGTCTCGAGGGTAGTCTTGAGGCCATTTTGGGGCGGCCTGGGAGCTTCTTGGCCCGCCCTGGACGCCATCCTGGGCCGTCTTGGGGCGCTCTTTGGGACTCCTTTTGGCTGTCTCCGAGCCCTCTTCGGCTGCTCGGGGCCTCTCTTGGACCGTCTTGGGGCCCCCTTCGGACCCTCCTGGGCCGTCTTGAGGAGCGGGGGCGCCCCCACATGCCAGGCCGACCATCTCCCTCATGTGCGCCCCAGGCCTTTCTCGCATAGGCGGGTCCGTGCGTTGCTGTCCGCACAACACATCACTGGTAGCCTTGCCACATCGCGGTTCGCAACCGGGAACACCGCGCAAACCGACCTGCAATAGGCAATACCATGCCTGAGCAACACATCGGCAATGCAATTGTTCTGCATGCGAATGGACATCCCGCGCGGCAGTGGATCCCTGCATTGTGAGAGGTAGCGTTGGGGTCCATCTTTGCCTTCCACATCTCGCTGAGCAACACCAGGGCCTCCTGCCATCGCTCGCCTTTCTCGCACGCGCTGATTCCAGAACTGTAGCTGACCAGGGCTGACCCGTGGACTACGTACACGGAATCTGCACGAACAGGCATGTGATTGTGGATGTGCTGCCGACAAGCTAACATGATAACTTATAACGCTGGACTCGGCCCTCGCATTCCACGCATGCCACTGCGTGATGCTGCTTTTTGCTGCTGTTGCGTGATGCTGGTAATGGTTGCCGCTGCTGCGCGCTGTTGCTGCTTGTGGCTGCATGGTGCTGCTGATGGCAGGTTCTGCTTGGTGCGTGCTGCTGCGCTGCTGCCCTCTGCCTGCTACTGCTTGCTGTTGGTGCGTGGTGCCGCTGCTGCCTGCTTCGTGTTGCTGCCCTTCGCTGCTGCTTGATACTGAATTTGCCTTTCCTCGCTGCTTCAGCTTGCTTGCGCCACCTGCTGCCAGGAGATGGCCGAGGAGTCAGGGACAGCGCAATCCAGGAGAGAGGGGGGGGGGGAAGACGCGAGGAGCGATCAACGAAGAGCGAGGCGCGCGAAGGGCGCGATGGCCGAGACGAGAGGAGCGTGGAGAAAGGAGGAGTCGGGGATGGAGAAGGCCGGAAGGGGGAGTGACCGCTTGGGGATCTTCTGGGGCCTCGTGAGGAGAAGACCTCCTGGGATGTCTCCCAGGGGCCTCCTGGGGTCTCTCGGGGCCTCCTTTGGGGCGTCATTGGCTCTCGCGGGGTCCTCCCAAGCCTCCTGGAGCCATCTGGGTGACCCTTGCGGCCACGGCCACTAGGAGATGTATTGGGGGAGTCCAGGGACGTTCGGAGGATGCCTTGGGCCATCTTGGTGCGTTCCTGGGCCGCCTTGAACCCGTCTTTGGGCCACCTTGGCGGCCTCTTGGGCCGTCCCCTGTTGGGCCGTATTGGAGCCCTGTTGGGCCGTCTTTGGGCCCCCTTCGAGGACCTATTAGGCTTTCTTGGGTCGATCTCGGGGGCTTCTTGGGCCGTCCTGAGGCCCGACGCAAGAGGAGCATGCGAACTTCGTTCGAAAGACTCGCCATAGGAGAATGCATTGGTTTTGCTCCCAAGGGCCCTCTCAGGTGTCCTCTTGGAAGCGTCTGGGTGGGTGCTCGTGGCCTGTCGGGCCATCCTCTTGGGCGCTCGGGGCCTCCCCGTGCTGAAGCCCCCTTGGGCCGCCTCGAATCCCTCTTGGGCGGTCTGGCGCCTCCCTTTGGAACGTCTTGGAGCTCGCTTGGGGCCCTCCTCGCCCTTTCGGGCACGCTCTCGGCCCCCACCTCCTGCCCGCTAGTATCGTCGTCGTCGTCGTCGTCGTCGTCGTCGTCGTCGTCGTCGTCGTCGTCGTCGTCGTCGTCGTCTGGGCCGTCTCGGAGCGCCCCTGGATGGGGTCGGGGATCTCCTGACCCGGGTCAATCCAGACCCGGGTCAGTCAGGCCTGCAAGATCCTGCAAACTCCTGCAAAATCCTGCACCCAAACCCGGGTCAATGCGCAGGATTCTGCAGGATCCTGCAAGATCCTGCACCCAAACCCGGGTCAATGCGACCCTGGCCCTGCAGGATCCTGCAAGATCGGGTGCTCTGGTTGACCCCCGTTTGCATTGACCCCCGTCTCGAAAGCTCCCGATGGGGGGGGGGGCGCGCCCTGGCCGGCGGGGCCGCTGTCTGCTGGCCCTCCAGCGCTCCCGCCTCCGTCCTGCGCGGCGCGCCCCGCGCCGCGGGAGGCGGGCAGGATGACGGTGGGCTCCAGCTTCGCCGTGGCGATCTCGCGGAGCAGGGATGGTAACCAGCCACGTGCTGATCCCTATCCCTAAGAGTGGCGAGCCAAAATGCGATGACAATCGGGTCGGGCGAAAGGGGGGGATAGCAAAGGGGGGGTTTGAGAATCAGCTCACGTAGCTGATTTTCCCGGCGCCTCCCGGCGCCGGAGGCGGCCATGTATCGAGGAATGGGCCCCTCGGTGAGGCCGAAACCAGCTGCGTGCAGCAAATTTCGTAACCCCCCCTTTCCCAATCCCCCCCTTTCGCCCGGCCTGAGACAATCTTTGGGATGCGCCCTCAGAAGCTAAGGGAATCCTTTAGACCGGCACCCAAATCAGACAACACCAGTCATAGGGACAGGTATCTGCTCCAGGCTGGCAAGATAAGGCCTGCTGCCACTGCTTGGCCTTCTCGCACGCGCTGATCCCAGCGTTGTAGCTGACTGGAGCGGTCTCGTGAACGACCGTCCAGGACATCTGCACAGACTCGGACGTGATGGCATGTGGAGAGCAAGGAGCGGGGAGTAAGGACCGAGGAGGGGAAAGCGCGGAGCCATCAGCGAGGAGCAAGGAGCGAGAACGGAGGAGCGACGGCCGAGCAGAGAGGGGCGGGGAAGGATAAGGGAGAGCCGGGGAAGGAGGCGTGGCGATGGAGATGCGAGTAGCCAAGACGGAGGTGCGCGAGGCTAGGAGAGAGCAGCGAGGAGCGAGGACGAGTGAGAGTCAAGAAAAAAAGAGAAAGGCAGGCACATTGGGATTAGGAAGTGCCGAGGATGGCTGAGGGACGAGGGAGGTGCGACTCGTCGAGAGGGAGGAGCGAGGGGCCAGGAGAGAAGGGCGAGGAGTGAAAAGAGAGGAGCAGGGAGCGAGGAGAGAGGGAAGCGAGGAGCGTGAAGCGGGCTCCCTTGGGGCCCGCGCATCTTTGGGCCATCTGGGCGTCTCCCGGGGTTTCTGAACCTTGCTGTGGGGGAAGCCCCCGGGGCGCTCGGGGGGGCGGGGGCTGTCTGAGAGCCACCCTCTTGGAACCGTCTTGGGGCCATCTCAGGGTCCGCCGTTGCGGCTGTGTTGGGCCCTCTGCAGGGCTCTCGTACTCTTGGGCCATCTTGGACCGTCTGGAGCCGAGAAGTGAAGAACATCGAGCACATACGAATCCCGAGCGGTTGTGTTCACTTCATGTCCGCCTCATGTTGAACCTGGGCGCAGCCATACTGGAGCCTCTCTTTGCCTTCTCGGCGTGTCTTGGGGCGTCCTGGGGGTTCTCTCGAACCGTCGAAGGCCCCCCCAGGATTCCACGGAGCCGTCTAGGGACGCCTTTGGGGCGGCCTCCCGGACACTCTGGAGCCCGTAAGGCTGCTCGGGGCAGTGCTGTGGGCGTTGCTCAAGCTCCTGGGGCCCTCGATGGGGCTCCGAAGCCGAGCTCGGTCCCCAAAACACTTTTCGCACGCACGGGGCCCTGCAGCGTTGCGGAAACTCGTGCGAACCCATGCATAACATGCTCAAGATCTCCAAACAGATACGGGGAACAGGAGGAGGATGAGGGGCATCCCTGCTTCATATTGCTCCCACCGTACTTCAGGACCATATCCCAGAAACAAGTTCGAGCACCCCGAACAGTATCGAAATTATTTCGAACGAATATCGCCTCCCAGGGCCCGACACGTGAAAACCCTTCAGTTTCTATACTTTCCTGCTGGTCGAAATTCTTCCTGGTGGTCATGGTTAGAAAATGAGTTGGAACATGATAATCCCTCCTGCTCCTCCGCATTCCTCCGCGCGCTTCCACGCTCGTTCGGGTCCACGTTGAAACAAGTCCGCCCTGGTATTGCTCGTCTGGCAAAACATCTCTGCAGAACAACCGATCGAAAAGACAAGCAAGCCTACGCGGATGTTGATATGGCGAATTTCGGAAACCCTGCACCCAAAAACGTGTTCATCTCTTGGGGACGCATTTTTTACTTTCACCGCCTTCCGCCGAGCATGCGCCGAGCTTCCGCCAGCTTCCGCCAGCTTCCGCCTCGGAGGCGGCCTCGTTTTACTTCCGCCGACCTTCCGACGGGGAAGAGATGACAACTCCTTCTATCCTCGAAGGCGAGGCCCGTTTGGGAAGGCCTCCATCTGTTTGTGTGCCAAGCGCAGGTAGCATTCGCCTCCAGGGGCTCCTCAGCTTACGTGACACTGCGCGAGAGAATCGGATGAAGGTCACCCGCATGTCACATGACCCATGTGCTAAGTCGGATGTGCTTATCACTGTGCGATCCTCAGGCCTGCGGAGTCGAATCAGGCGCCTCCGCTCTCACCCTGAACGGCCCATTGAGCCAGGCGAGGTAGAGGGGGATGCAAGGGGAACGCGCAGAAAACACGTTGGGCCGCGTTGGGAGTCGCTTTGGCTGGTCCAGGGGATGTCGCGAGGCCCTCCAAAGCCTGTCTGTGGGCATCAAGGGCACGGTCCGTCTTCCGGTGGAGTGCAAAGCTAAGGGAATGGAGACGCAGGGAGCACAACTGGAGCCGTGATGGGAGTGAGCACTGGGATGCCTGGGCGCTGTCTCCCGACTCCCTCGGACCGCGCTTGGGGCATGTTGGAACGCTCTCTTGCATTCATCGGCCATGTTGAAAACATGTGGGGCTGCGGGCAATACCGCGGAGCTGGGAATGCTGGTAACTATTAAGCAAGTAAGCGTCGTGTTCCAGGAAGTTTGATTGCTGCGGCCTGTGGGCCTCGTGTGGGCTCTCTGGAGCCTGTCTCGCGCGCGTCGTGCGGCCTGAATCGGCGTCTTGGGCTGTCTCGAAAGCCTTCGCTGCCAGTGTTCGATGTCCTCTGGGCCTTCCGTCCTGGCGGCGTGGTCGGGCCCCATTGGGCCGTCTTGGCAGCCCAAATCAGGAGCAAGCGGCTGGTGGGACTGCGCCGCTGGATGCCCTCAGAGCCAGTTTCGAAGAGCCTGCCTTTTCTGGCATGCGCAGCGCCAGGCAAGGTAGTGCATACAACGACATTGGGATCCAACTTTGCCTCCTGCATCTCGCTGATCAGCGCCAGAGCCCGCTGCCATTGCTCGACTTTCTCGCACGCGCTGATCGCACCACTATAGCTGACTAGGGCTGACCCGCGGCCTCCCGGCCGCAGAATCTGCCCGCCATCGCGTGGACGTGGTAGTGGAGCGTCTCCGGCGCCTCGCAGGTGAGGGGAGGTTGGAGGGGACGGCGTGGATGGAGGAGGTGGCCGCTGGAGGGGGAGGTGGGCGAGGGATGCAGGCAATCAGGCCTGAAGGCAGGAACGCGGTCGGTGGTGGAGGCCGTGTCTGTGCAAGCGCACCCATGTAGGCATGACATGGTGTGGACAGAAGCTGTTTCTCACGCCGCAGTCTGTGTTCATCATAGTTTCTGCGGGGAGGGTCGCCGTGATAATTTGATCTGCTCTTCGCCGAATGATAACTTTATCTGGTAGCGTGGTGACAATGGGGCCGGCGGGCGCGGCCTAAGAGGCCCGCAAGAAGGCGGCGAGACGGCCCAAAAGGTCTCCAGGACGGGCCAAGAGTCTTCCCAGACGGCCCCAGCGGGGGCCCCGCGAACTCCCTAAGACGGGCCCCAGTGCGAGGGCACGAATCGACCTTTCGAGCGCACCGCCCCGAGACGTCCCCCAAAGGCACAGAAATGGCTCCCAGAGGGTCCAAGAAGCCCCAAAGACGACGCTGGAAGTTCGACACTCCCCAGGAGAGAAGGATCCAAGGCCTCTTGGTGGCAGTTTGGGGGCCTCTTTTCGTCCTCCTGGGGGTCTCTTGGTGTCCTTTTGGGCCGTCTTGAGGGCCTCTTGGGCCGTCTTGGGGCGATGTGGGGCCGTCTCGGGCGCCTATCGGACCATCTTGGGGCCGTCTTGGGGTCATCTTGGGCCGAGCTCTTGGGGCTGTCTTGGGTGGTTCTTGAGCCGTCTCGGGCGCCTCTGGAGCCGTCCCGGGGCCGTCTTGGGCAGTTTTGGGGTCCTCTTGGGGGCGTCTGGGAGCATCTCGGGCGATCCGGGAGCCTGTACAGCCAGCCGTCTTGGAGACTGTGCAGACGGAAAGGCTTGGAGACGGGGCGGCGGGGGCCTGTACAGCCGTCTTGGACGGGCGCCCCTGGAGCCGTCCCGGGGCCGTTTGGGGCCGTTTTGGAGCGCTCCTGGGGGCCTCTGGGCGCGTTTTGGGGCGAGCTGGGGGGCCTGTATAGCCGTCGTGGACGCTGCGAGGACGAAAGAACAAAACATAATGGAAATGTGCGTTTCCCGCAAGGACTGGGACGATTTTGGCTTGGGGCTCTCCTGGAGGCCCTCCTGAGCCTTCTTGGGGGCCTCCTGGCCTGCCTCGGGGGCCTGCGTTGTCTTGGGGCTCCCAAGGAGTGCTCTGAGGCCGTCTTGGCGCCCCCTGGAGCCTCTCGGAGCCGTCCCGCGGGCCATTCCTGGCTGGTCTTGGGGCTGTCTTGGGTGCGTCTTGGGCCGTCTCGGGCGCCTCTGGAGCCGTCCCGGGGCCGTGTGGTGCCGTTTTGGAGCGCTCCTGGGGGCCTCTGAGCGCGTCTTGAGGCGAGCTGGGGGGCCTGTATAGCCGTCGTGGACGCTGTGAGGACGAAGAAACACGATATAATGAACATGTGCGTTTTTCGTAGGGAATGGCTTGGGAGCCGCCTGGCCTGCCTTGGGGGCCTCTGGGGCTGTCTTGGGGTTCCCAAGGGTGATCTGAGGCCGTCTTGGCGCCCCCTGGAGCCTCTCAGAGCCGTCCCGTGGGCCATAATGAACTGCTCTTGGGGCTGTCTTGGGTGCGTCTTGGGGGGTCGTGGGGCCTTGTGTGGGCGTATGGGGGCCCAGGGCTCAGAATGTCAGGTGTTTTCCCTGTTCTTTGGCCCCCTCTTGGGCCTGGCTTGGGGTCCTCTGGGGCCGTCTTGGGCGCCTCTTGGGCCATCTTGGGGCTCCCTGGGCCGTCGGGGGACGCGCCTGGAGGCCTGTTGGGCCGTCCTGGGGCGATCTTGTGGGTCTCTTCGGCCGTCTTGGAGCGTCGGCTAGCCGAGAAGGCGAGAAGGCACAACTCTTTACAAAGCCATTGAACAATTCTGGACTTGGGCCTCTGGGGGCATGCTTCGGAGGACTGTTGGAGGCTCCTGGAAGCCTCTCGGGCCTTGGCGGGGGCCTCTGGGGGCCTCTCGGACGCTCCTTGGAGCCACTTATGGCCACTTCGGCGCGTCTTTGGGCGGAGGGCTCGATTTGTGACGCTCGGGGGCCAGGATCTTCGCGAGGGGTGTCGACAAATGGCCCTCCAGGGAGCGCATCGGTCCACATGCGCTGTTTTGACGTTCTGGCACGCGCTGATGTCCGCTATAGAGAAGACCAGCAGGTCCCCCTGGCGGGCCTCCACGTTGGGCCCCCGCCCAGGAAACAGCCACCCCGAAGCCTTCGGTTACTTGTTCCGGCCGACATTCCGAAATTGGAAGGCGGGTGCTTCCTCCTGCTCGTCCGCCTTCCGCTCCACGTCCGCCTGGACAACCTTCGGAGCATCACAGACGGCTATGGTGGGTCTGCGGTGTGCCTCCCGCCGCTTGTCTGCTCCCCCTGGTTTGAACCATTTTAAGGGCACCTGGGGCAGAGAAAAAAGTCTCCCGAAGGGCTCTGGTGACTTTTTTCCGGTTAACTTTTCGAAGCCTGATAGCGGGCGCTGCCTTCTGCTTGGGATCTCTTTGGGGGCCTCTCGGGGTTCCTGTTCGGCCTCCTGGGGGCCTCTTGGGGCCCTTTTAGGCCGTCTTGCGGCCTCCTGTGGTCCTCTTGGGGTCCTCTTGGGCCGCCTTGGGTGCCTCTCGGGGCCGTCTGGGGCCGTCTTAGGCCGTCTGGGGGCCGTCTAGAGGCCCTCTGGGGCTCTATAATTCACCGATCGCTCTTTTTATGGTCGTCTCTGGGCCTGCTTGGTGGCCTTGTGGGGATCTTCTTCGGGCAATTCTGAATTTTTGTTGGGCTGTTCTGGGAGCGTTTTGGGACGTCTTGGGGCCATTTTGGGCTGTCACGGGGCGTCCGGGAGACCTTGGACCGTCTTGGAGCTCTCTTGACGCTGCCTGAGGCCGTCTTGGGAGTCTCTTGGGGCCCCCTCGGAACTCTCTTAGGGCCGTCTTGGGGCTCTGTGAGACCGTTTCAAGGCTCTCTGGCGTCGTCTTGGGGCTCTTGTGGGCCGTCTTGGAGCCCTCTTAGGGGCCGCTGGCGTCTTCTTGGGGCGATTTGGGAGGCCTCCTGGCGTGTCCTGGGCCGCTGAGGAGCACACAAGGCGGGCATGCTGAAACTATTCGTTTCCCTCTAGAAATTCGACGACTTGTGCCTCCTTGGCATGCGCTCGGGGCCCTCTTGGGGCTTCTGTGCAGCCCTTGGATCGTCGTGGAGCCCCCCCCCCGGAAGGCTTCGGGCCCTCGTGGGCCGTCTCGGGACCCACTGAGGCCGTCTTGGAGCGCTCTTGGACAATCTGGGAACCCCTCTGGAGCGCCTCTGGGACCGGCCTGAGCGATTCGGCCCCGTGGTGGCGCCGCAAAGGGCCGATTTTGTGCACTTGAGGCCCTGGGCTTCTCGCGCGCGTTTCCACCGGCCATGTAGGAGAGATGACGTCAAGCTCCAACTTCGCCTCCCGCATCTCACGGAGCAGCAACAAAGCCCGCTGCCACTGGCCGCCTTTCTCGCACGCGCTGAGCCCACTACTGTAGCTTACCACTGTGGGCCCGTGGGTTGAAAACCCACACGGGGTAGCAACCTACCGTGCTTACATACAGTCATCGTGTCACCATAAAGAATGCGCAGCAAATCCGACGGCCCCCTTGTGGGGCCACCAGGCTGTAGGGCAAAGGTTTGCTGTTCCCTGCGCCAGTCCCAGTTTCCAGTTTCCAATGTGATAGTTATGCTTCTTGTTGTATTACTGTCCCTTGTTGATGGACCGCGCGAGGGGGGGGAGCCGAAAAGCGTCCGGATTACCACGCCCGAGTCGCGTGCTCTGAATTCTTGGGGGGGACGTGGGATACGTAAAAATACATGGAATTCGCGCCCCCGAGGCCATACACCCCGGTAAATTACACAATAGCCGCGTCCCCGAAGCCATAAACCCTCGTGAAGTAATCAATATTCGCGTCCTCGAAACCATAAGCCCTCACACAATACGACATACTCGTGTCTCCGAAGCCATAAACCCAAGTAAATTACACAGTGCTTGCGTCCCCGAGGCCACAAACGCTCGTAAATCACAAGATGTTCGCGTCCCCGAAGCCATCAACCCCTTGTAATTTATGCACAATATTCGCGTCTCCGAAGCCATCAACCTGCGCAAATTAAACAATAGTTGCGTTCCCGATGCAATGAACCATTGGAAATTACTTGATAGCCGCGTCCCCAGAGCCATCAACCCTCACACATTACGCTACATTCGCGTATCCGAAACCATCAACCCTTTTCAAATACACAGTACGCGCGTCTCCGAGGCCATAAACCTGCGCAAATGACGGGAACATTGCGACCCCGAAGCCATACACCCTCGAAAAAAATATGCAATAGTCGCGTGTCCGAAGCCATAACCCTAGTACATTAAGCAATAGGCGCGTCTCCGAAGCCATAAACCTATGTACATTGCGCTGCGTTTGCGACCCCGGAGCCATACACCCTTGTAAATTACGCGCGATTCGCGTATCCGAGTAACGTTCTGGTAGAGAGGGGGCTGGCGGCAGACGGCGAAGCCCTTACGGATAACGAAATGGCTTTCCCAGACACGGCAAGCCTCAGCCAGAAATCTGTTCCCCGACGTAGAACTAAGGACCAGCCGAACAACCAGAACCCCTCCTAAGACCTAAGTATTTTTTGTTCTAAGCGTCTTGACTGGCATGCATTTAGTGGCAGCGTGCTGGTCTCATGCACTTGGGCACTCTGCATTTCCTGCGGCTACTCAGCACATACCGAGCTTCTGGAGCACTCTCGGAGCCAGCTTGGGTCATGCTTGGGGGCTGCTTGAGGCCTTCTTGGGCTCTCTTGGGGAAGTAGTGGATCCTCTTGCGGCTACTTGCGCATCACTTTGAGGCTTACAGGTGGCAAACTTGGGGGACGTGGGGGCAATCTGGGGAGCTCGAGCATGCTGGGGCGGCCTTGGGCTGTCATGGAGCCGCCTCGGGGCTGGATTGAAGGCACGGCAGGGCAACCCTGGGCCATCCTGGGAACATTTGGAGCCCTCGTGAAGACTCGTAAGGGCCTCTTCGGCGCTGACGGTGGCCCGAAGCTATCTTGTGAGGGAGCATGGGGGATTCCAGAAATGCTGAAACACTGGATTTACACCATTGCCCTCTTTGCGCAAGGTCGCTGCGGATCCTCTTGGGGCTCACCGGGGGCCTGCGTGAGGCCAGCTGGGGCTCCCTGTCGGCCCTGCTTAGCCCTCCACTTGGGGACTCCAGGTGGTCACTCGGGGCCTGTGCCGCCTGGGTGGCGTTGGGATGGTCGCAGGAGCTCTTGGGACTCTGTTCGGGCGGCCTTGGGCTTTCATGGGGCCGCTTCGGGGTCGGCCTGGTGGCCAGGCAGGGCAATCCTGGGCTATCTTGGGAGCGTCTGGAGCCTGCGGAGAGAGTGGAGAGCCATCTTTGAAGGGGCCCCAGGACACACAAATAAATACACACAAATAAAAATATTCCCCATATTTTCCCATATTTTCTGGGTTTCTGTCTTCCCCCCCACTTCCCATATTTTCTCATTTTTTCTGGGGAATCGAGGATTAATTGTGTCTGTGTGTTTCTTTTCCTCCTGAATCTTTAACACATGTTCGAAGAGAACATGGAGGATGCCGAAAATGCGGAAACACCTGGAAGATGCACACAATCGTTCTCTTTGCGCAAGGCCTCCGCGGGTCGTCGTGGGGCCGCCTGAGGGCCTGCGTGAGACCGGCTTGGGCTCCCTTTTGGGGCCCTTGTAGGCACTCTTGTGGGTACTGGGGCGTCGCTCGAAGAGTCCGGGTGGTCACTCGGGACGTCTGGGTGACTGAGGAGGAGGAGGAAGCAGAGGAGGAGGAGGAGGAGGAGGAGGAAGAAGAAGAAGAGGATGAGGAGGCGGAGGGGGAGGGGGAGGGGCAGGAGGAGGAGGAGGAGGAGGAGGAGGAGGAGGAGGAGGGGGCGTTACGGGGATGACCAGATCAGGGGGGGAAACATCGAGCTTGACTCGGCGATGCATCGCCGATAGATTGGCGGCAGGCCCCCGATAGAGAATCCGCGCGCTCGTGGGCGGGTTGAGCTGTCGGGCCCCTGTCGGCCATGAGTGTGCGATTGGGGGTCGATGCATCCTTTCCTGGGCCTATCCCCTCTTCGCGACTATATTGGGGCGGCCGGTGACTGTCATGGAGTTGCTCCGGGTCCGATTGGGAGCCCTGGGTTTGCAATCCTGGATTATCCTGTGAGCAACTCTAGCCCTCTCGGAGCGTCCCAGGGGCTTCGTCTGGGACGCAGAAGGACGTATCAATATTATGCACCCCCCGTTGAACGGGCACGTCCGAACGGAACACATGGCGCAAACATCAGACAATAGATTGTCACCCGCGCGGAATGGCGAGTCCGAACCCAACATATGGTGCAAACCTGAGAAATGACATCGTCAGCTACGCGGTATGGCGAGAAAGCGCCCGCAGCCGAGCATATGGTATATACTATATCAGCTTTCTGAGCGCGCGCGTCACCGCTGGGGGGCACCTACAGAAAAAGCCTCCACGAGGTCCCCGAGATGCACCTAAAGAGACCCGAACATGCATTTAACAGGCCTCTGACCCACAAGCCATGTGGCGGGATTGACCGAATACTACCACTGTTCTTGCGAGAATAGCAACGCACACATCCATGTGAGTATTCAATAGTTGCACCCCGCAGTTGCGAGTAAGAGCGATGGGGGCGGCTGCAATCTGCGAGGCGCTGAAGAAGCCCGCCGCAGGCGCCGACATTTTCCCAAATTATGCAACGAGCCCGCCGCAGGCGCCGAAACAATGTGGGTGGGTCGCGGTTGGGTCGTGGGTGGCTCGCGGGTTGGGTCGTGGGGTTGGTCGCGGGGTGGATCGTGGGGTTGGTCTCGGCAGGTCGCGGGCAAGCACGACGACAATAAAACTCATTTCATGACTGTTTGCTTTCATCTGCTAGCGTGTCACTTAACACGTATATCCCAAACCCTCGATACCCGCCCTCTTCGCCTCCGATCGTACCCCCCTTGGGGGTATTCTTCCTTGCGTGCCACGTGCAGTCGGCGCAGCCCCTAATAACGCATGGGAAGGAAAGAGGAGGGAAGAGACAAGGGGGAGGGAGAAGGATGGAGCACGAGAGAGATCTGCAGGAGCGTGCTCGGAGCAGGAGTACGCGCGGCAGAACCAGACGGGCGGGTCGGGCGGGCGGACCCTATCGGGCGGTTCGGGCGGGCGGGCCCAGACGGCCAGGTCGAGCGGGCGGGTCGCTGAAACGTAATCAAACATGACTCGCTATGAAGTTTCGAGCGATAACGTAATTCACAAGTAATCATGTATGATTGATTGTGGGGAAATGTCCAGCGTGAGCCGTTCATGTGGTCAACCGAAAAGCCGAAACACACACACACACACACACTCTGAGGCGCAAGACTTCCCCGAATTTGAAAACAAGATGCGAGCGCGAGATGGCGACTCTAATTGGAAAACAGACCGGGCACCAGGCAAGGGGGATCAACAACAATTGCTCTTGAGAAGTGATATCTCAACGCAACAGCAACAATGTAACAACACTCCGCACCGAGGAACCCCACTTTAGCCACGCGCCAATGGACAAGGTATGACCGATCGGCCTCCTCACTCTGATGCTGTTCTGGCTCTGGAGGGGCCCCTCGGGAAAATAGTTGGTGGGGTCATGAACAAAAACATTGGCGGCATCTCGTGTACTCTGGCGGCTCTCGCAGACCCGGCTGGGCTTGGGGGGGCCTCTTCAGGGGGAGTTCTGGCGTGCGCCGGGGAGGGGCCTCTCTCCCCGAGGGGTGTCACACCGCGAGGTCGCGCGATTCACCGCCGACCTCTCTTTGCACACTTTGGGCCCAGCACTGTGGTAATGATCACGTCGGGCTCTGAGAATTGATTCAACGAGATCAAACGAGATGTGAATGTTTCTCCACTGGACTCGGGTCTCTCCAGAACTACTGGAGAGCAGCAGTCAGACGCTATGCTAAGCTGCTGGGCCTGGGGCGCGGTAAGCGCCACCCTGATCAAAAATGCCTACTGCCGGGCATTGGGCCCAGCACTGTGGTAATGATCACGTCGGGCTCCAGATTCGCCTCCCACATCTCACCGAGCAGCCACAAGGCCTGGTGCCACTGCAGGCCTTTCTCGCACGCGCTGACCACGGCACTGTAGCTGACGAGTGTGAACTCGTGGATTGAATCCACGGCGTGCTGAGCCAGGACTCGCACACCGTAGATGACCAGCTCGTCGAAGTTGAACAGCTCGGGCGCCCCTGGGGCGGCAGGGGCGACCTTCGGAGGCACATGTGACGGTCACGCTTAGGGCAATGGTTGGTGTGTGTGTGTATGTGTGTATGTGTGTGGGGGGGTGTTTGTGTGTGTGTGTGTTTGCGTGTGTGTGTGTGTGTGTGTTTGTGTGTGTGTGTTTGTGTGTGTATGGATGTGCGTGCATGTGTGTGCGTGTGCGTGTGCGTGTGCGTGTGCGCGTGCGTGCGTGTTTGTGCGCGTGAGTGTGCCTGTGCCTGTGCGTGTGCGTGTGCGTGTGCGTGTGCGTGTGCGTGTGCGTGTGCGCGCGCGCGTCTGTGCGTGCGTGCGTGCGTGCGTGCGTGTGTGTGTGTGTTGTGTCGTGTGTGAGTGTCGTGTGTGTGTGTGTGTGTGTTTGTTTCTGTGTGTGTGTGTGTTGTGTGTGTGTTGTGTGTGTGTGTGTTTGTTTGTGTGTGTTGTGTGTGGTGGGGGGGAAGGGGGGGGGGAGGGGGGGGGCGCACGTTTGGGGGCGCCTGGGGGCTACGCGTGGGGGTGACGTTCGGGGGCCTCGCTAACTGGGGCGGTAGGGGCGACCTTTGGAGGCTTTGTGTGGGGGCCGCCTTTGGGGGTCCCGTTTGGGGGCCACGTGTGGGGCCGACGTTTGAGAGGCGACGTCTGGGGGCCGCCACGGAAAGCAGTCGGGGAGCTCCGGGGGCACTGTCCTGGAAGCGTGAAAAGACATGTTTTCTGCTAATCGCGCCAGGTCTGGGCGCGATTAGCAAAAACAGAATTCAGGCACAGTCAGAGTGAGGGGGGCACGTTTGCGGGCCTGTGTTGGGGGCCGCGCAGGAAGGTCTTGAGTCCATTTTGGGTGTCTCGTGCCGTCTCGGAGGTCGCTTTGGGCCCTCTTGGGCGGCATCTTGGGCCCTTCTTGGGGCGTCTTAGGGCCATCTTGGCTGTCTCGGGCCGTTTCGGAGGTCGCTTTGCTGGGGCCCGGTTGGGGCTGACTTGGGAGTCACTTGAAGCTCCCTTGTGTGCCGTCTTGGGGCCCTCTTGGGCTGTCTACCGGCCTTCTTGGGCCGTCTGGGGCCCTCCTGGAGCCCTCTTGGACAGTGCAGGGGCGATGTGGGAGGTCCCCAGGGCCATCCTGGGCCGTTGTGGGCCCGAAATGGCGGGAACCAGAAAACCTTCGAACCCTTGGGAAAACATACAAGTTTTGCCCCTTGGCGCCGTCCAGGCGGCCCTCGGAGACCGTCTCTGAAGCCTTTTTGGGCCGCCAGGGGGCTCCGGTTGGGTCGGCTTCGGCCCGCGTGGACGTCTGTGAGGCCGTCTTGGGGCGATCTGGGGGTCCTGGAGCCGTTGGCGAGCGTTGCAGGGGCTTCCTGAGGCCGTCGAAGAGCGCCCCAAAGGCTCTCTGGGCAGCCCACGGGCTCTCTGGGCGGCCCGCCGCAACGGTTCCGGGAACGCCGGCGACGGACCAGGGCCCCGGGAGCCCCGGGAGCGACCCCGAGCCACTGCACCTCGCACGCGCTGCGACCGGCATTGTATAGCATAGATAGACTAGGGCTGACCCGCGGCCTTCCGGCCGCGGAATTTGCCCGCCATGGCGTGGACGTGGAAGTGGAGCGTATCTGGGGCCTCGCGGGTAAGGGGAGGTTAGAGGGGACGGCGCGGATGGAGGAGGTGGCCGTTGGAGGGGGAGGTGGGCGAGGGATGCAGGCAAGCAGGCCTGAAGGCAGGAACACGGTGGTGGAGGCGGTGTCAGTGGAAGCACACCCATGTAGACAGACATGGTGCGTACAGAAGCTGTTTCTGACGCCGCAGTCCGTGTTCATCATAGCTTGTGCGGGGAGGTTAGCCGTGATCATTTTATCTGCTCTTCGCTGGGGCTGAATGATCATTTTACCTTATAGTGTGGTGGCAATGGGGCGAGTGGGCGCGGCCTAGGAACCCCGCAAGAGGGCGGCAATACGGAACTCGCTAAGACGGGCCCCAGTGCGAGGACACGAATCGACCTTTCGAGCGTACCGCCCCAAGACGTCCCCAAATAGCGCAGAGTAGGCTCCCAGAGGGTCCAAGAAGCCCCCGAGCCGATGCTGGAAGTTCGACGCTCCCCAAGAGAGAAGCATCCAAGGCCTCTTGAGGGCCGCTTGGGGGCCTCTTTTCGCCCTCCTGGGGTCTCTCGGAATGCGTCTTGGGCCGTCCTGTGGCGATGTGGGGCCGTCTTGATGTGGGGCCGTCTTGGGCGCCTCTCGGACCATCTTGGGACAGTCTTGGGGCCATCTTTTGGGCCAATCTTGGGCGCTCTTGGGGCTGTCTTTGGCGTTTCTTGACCCGTCTCGGGCGCCTCTGGAGCAGTTCCGGGCGGCCCAAAGACCGTCTTGGATACTGTCCACACGGAAAGGCTTGGAGACGGGGCGGCGGGGGCCTCTACAGCCGTCTTGGGGACGGGGCGGTGGGGCCGTCTGGGGCCATTATTAACTGCTCTTGGGGCTGTCTTGGGTGCGTCTTAGGCGCCTCTGGAGCTGTCCCCGGGCCGTGTGGGGCCGTTCGGGGGCCCTCCTGGGGGCGTCTGGGCGCGTCTTGGGGCGAGCTGGGGAGCCCGTATAGCCGTCTTGGACGTTGTGAGGACAGACAAACGGAACATTGTGAATCTGCGCGTTTCCCGTATGGAATGGGACGATTGGGGCATCTTGGGGCCCTCCTGGAAGCCCTCCTGGGCAGTCCTCCGAGGCCGTCTTGGCGCCCCATGGAGCCTCTCGGAGCCGTCCCGTTGGCCATTCTTGGCTGCTCTTGGGGCTGTCTGGCGCCTCTGTAGCCGTCTCGGGGCCGTGTGGGGCCCTTTGGGGGCCTCTGGGCGCGTCTTGGGGCGAAGTCAGCCTTATAAGGCTGTCCTGGTGCTCCCAAGGGTGCTCTGAGGCCGTCTTCCGCCCCCTGGAGCCTCTCGGAGCCATCCCGAGGCAATTTTTGAAGCATCTGCGCCCCGGAGGGCGCCCCGGAGGGCCTGGGGATGCACTCAAGACAGCGGACCTTCTCGCACGCGCGGATCCCTCTGGGCTTTGGGGCCGCTGAGGAACTTTCCCCGTTCTTTGGCCCCCTCTTGGGCCTGGCTTGGGGTCCTCTGGGGCCGTCTTGGGCGCCTCTTGGGCCATCTTGGGGCTCCCTGGGCCGTCTGGGGACGCGTTTGGAGGCCTGTTGGGCCGTCCTGGAGCGGTCTTGTGGGTCTCTTCGGCCTTGGAGCGTCGGCTAGCCGAGAAGGCGAGAAGGTAGAACTCCTTCAATAACCATTGAAGCATGATGGATTTGGGCCTCGGGGGGCATGCTTCGGAGGACTGTTGGAGGCTCTTGGAGGCCTCTTGGGCCTTGTTGCGGGCCTCTAGGGGGCCTATTGGGCGCTCTTTGGAGCCTCTTATGGCCACTTCGGCGCGTCTTTGGGCGGAGGGCTCGATTTGTGACGCTCGGGGGCCAGGATCTTCGTGATGTGTGTCGAAAAATTGCCCTCCAGGGGGCGCATTTATGCACATGCGCCGTTTTGCCTGTCTGGCACGCGCTGATGTCCGCCATAGAGAAGAGACTGGCGTGCACAAGTGTTGCGCATTCGCAAGCGATTCGGCAGATCCGCACTGGCGGCGCCCAGCCTACGGCTAGCAAATGACGTCGATGACAGCGTTGTGCTCCAGCGTCGCCGCCGGCTTCCGCGTCTCGCGTAGACGACGGGTCGGCACCAGCCCGGGGTCTTCGAGGAGCTATTTTGGGACTCTCTGGAGGGCAGCTGGGGCCTCCAGCAGGCCGGTCCGCGCGGCACTCTGCAACAGAAGCTGCGGTTAGGGATGCTGGGCCGAGGGGTGGAGTGAACGTGCGTTGCTGAGGTGTTCGAGCATCTTGGATGGGGCTCAGCAAAGCAGAGTGAAGCAAAGGCTCCGCTCAAGGTTTCAGCTTGCATCGGACACCCTGGAACCGACTCTGAACCCAGAATGTGACTCGAATCGGACACCCGGCAACCGACGACGACGTCGACGATGACGGCGGCGGCGGCCGCGACGACGGCGAGTGCCCGACATTGGGCTGCTGGGGCTGTCTCGGGCCGTCGGAGGCACGAGATGGCGAGACAACTAAAAGCATTCAAACACTTAAGAACATGTACGACATTCGCCTCCCCGGGCCCTTCTGGAGGGCCTCTTGGAGCTCTGTTTGGCTGACTCGGAGGCCTATGGGGCCGTCTTGAGGGAATCTTGGGCCGCTTCTGGACCAGCTTGGGCCGCGTATGGCCGCGTTGAAGGCGTCTTGGGCGACCTTGCATGTCTCTGGCATCCTCCAGAACCGTTCTGGAGGCCGTCTTGGGCCGTCTCGGAGACCGTCTGCGGCGCGGCAGTCCGTGTCTTGGAGACGTCACGAAGGCCTATTGGGCCGTGTTGGGGCCCTCTCATGCCGTTCTGGGGTTCTCTTAGGGCCGCTTGGGCTACCCTGCGGCCATCTTGGAGGCCTCCGGGGTCGTCTCATCCATCGGGGGCACGAGAAGGCGAGCAAGCTGGAATCCGCCAAAAGTCCGAAGGACATGTATGTTTTCAACCTCCTCGGGCCCTTCTGGAAAGGCTCTTGGGGCCCTCTTGGGCCGACTCGGAAACCTCCGGGGAGATTGTGGCCCGCGTTGGAGGCGTCTTGGGCGAACTTGGGGGTCTCTCAGACCCTCTGGGGACTCGTGTGCACGGAACACGGATCTGCAGGACTGATGACGTTGGGCTCCAACCTCGCCTCCCACATCTCGCCGAGCAGCAGCAAGGCACGCTGCCACCGCCCGTCTTTCTCACACGCGCTGATTACAGCACTGTAGCTGACGACGTTGGGCTCCAATTCCATGTCCCCCATCTCGCTGAGCAGCGACGAGGCCTGCTGCCATTGACCGTCCTTCTCACACGCGCTGATACCAGCGCTGTATATTACGTGTGTGTGGACCCATGAGCTACCATCGGGCCTCGTGGGCACCCAAGGAGATGAGGATAGTATTCGCCACTGGGCCCCGAGGCACGAGTTGGTGTGTCCTCCTGCCCTTTGCCTGATCCCCTGAGCCCCAGTCCTGAAACCTCTGGGATTATGTAAGGGACCTGGGCCTTAGCTCTCAAGTCTCCTGGGGCCTGCTGCGCGCCTCCTGGGCCAACCCGCATCTTGTCGCATGATTTCTGTCGGAGCCAAGAGGGCTCCGCGACAGGCCAAGAGGGCCCAAGGAGACCTCCAGAGGGTCCAAGAGGGCTCCCCAAGACGGCCCAGGAGGGCGCCACGACGGCGCGGGAGGCCCCTAAGACGGCCCAAGAGGCTTCCAAGACTGGCATTTCGAGCCTTCGGCCTCAAGATAGCCCCAAGAGCCTCCCAGAGGCCCATGATGCGCCCCCAAGGCGCCCCAAGAGACCCCCAGGAGGCCTCAAGAGGCCCCAAGAGGCACCCAAGAGACACCCAAGAGACACAACTGAGCAAACAACACCTGATCTGGGGCGCGAGCGAAATGGCGAGGGATTATCTGCAAACTCAGTGTCCATCATCTTGGTATGAATTGGAGTGGCGAGCTCGTCTGGGGCAGCACGTACTGCAGAGGGTGCGTCGCGGGGAACCGACTGACAGGATAAGATCCAAGGACCACGCTGGACTTGCTCCAAAAGGTGAGTCTTCCCTGCAATCGTTTGACAAGATGGGGCCTGAGAGACTCGGGGGAGGCACCTTTGGGAAGGTCCTGGGTACAGAACGGTATGGTCTGGGGTAAGCTTGCGGGTGTTCTTTGGGTGCTCTTGGGCATCAGGCGCCGTCTGGAGGTTGTCTTCGGCCCTGTCGGCTGGGCTGTCTGGGCTCGCCTTCGAAGGAATGGTCTCGAAACTCTCTGACGTCATCTCAGCGCCCCTCTGGGGCCGGCCCGGGAACAGAAATGCAGGAGCCCATCAATATTGAACAAAGGTGGGGGAGTCTATCCCTGACCTCTAGGGTGCCTCGGCGCAGCCCTAAAAGGCGTCCGGTGTGGCTCAGGGCCGATCGATGGAAAGCCTGGGGGCCCCACAAGGCGCGCAAGAGCTCGTCTTGTACCTTCCCTGTGCCTGCCTGGGGCCATCTGGCGCCCGTGTGAAACCATCTTGACACCTCCTCCGGAGCCACCGCTGGCCATGGTGGGCCAAGCTTGGGCCTCCTCGGGGGGGCGGCGTTAGAAGCCTGTTTTGGGACTCTTGGGGCCGTGCAGGGGCTCCTGGGGAGGCTGCTCCGCCGACGCCTGCTGACTCGCCTGCACGGAACGCGGATCTGCAGGACTGATGAATGACGTCGGGCTCCAGCTTTGCCTCCCGCATCTCGCTGAGCAGCAGCAGGGCCCGCTGCCACTGCTCGCCTCTCTCGCACGCGCTGATCCCCGCGCTGTAGCTGAGCCAGGTGTGCCAGTGGAGTGCTGTCCGCGAGGGCGTGCCCGCACGCAAAGAGTGGATCTCGCGCAGCGCACAATATATCGCAGCATCTGGCTGGATCGGCTCGGCCGTGGCACCGCTCTGATGACAAAACACAGCGCGGCTCAAGGTGGCTCGATCCGCGGCGCAACGCGGTTCAAGCCACCACGGCTCCGTGGCCTGAGCCGTGGCACTGCTCCGATGACACAATTCAACACGGCGCACCCAAACATCTGAGCGGGCAATTTTGTCGGCGACACGGCGCAGAACGGAAGAGAACGGCATCATCACCCTAATTATCGCCCTGGCACTCCATCGTCGGCGAGGCTTATTGGCTTCTGCCTTTTGCGTTCGTTCGCTAGCGCTGGTTGCTGCTTGCTGTTGTTTGCAGTTGGTTGCCCATGTTTGCACTTGCTTGCTGCGGGCTAGATGTGCTGCTTGCAGGCGTTCAGTTGCGACTACTTCCTTGCCGCTGCTGTGTGCTGCCAGTCGCTCCTGTTCTCTGGGCCCTCTTGAGGCGTGTCCGTTCGACTAGGGCGACCAGCACTTCGCTGCATGGGGGGGATCCCGCCAATGGTTTATTCGGCTCAGTTTCTCGTTGCGCTGGTTTGGTGGTGATGTTCATCGTTCGTGCTACTAGTTATAATGCTGTTTCCCTTCGTTCCTTCCCATATTCTGACTAGTTTCTATTCCCCTTGCCCTTTTTATCAAGAAAGGATTGCACCAATCAGTCTGCAATGGTTATGCACTTGGGCATTGATGCTTATCTGTGCTCCACGACGGCAATCCCAACTCCGCAGCTGTTCGGGCAGCGGTGAATGTCGACAAGGTCCCGACTGAGGAACCATTCCCCCTGGCTTTCCTGTCTACCCTCCTGAAGCCTAGCACGGCAAATCTGCGCTCTCTCTCTCTCTCTCTCTCCCTCTCGGGCTTTTCGGGCCTCTGTTGAGACTTCTCGTGCGTCCCATGTGGCCTCTTCCACCGTCTTCGAGGGCTCTCAAAGGCTACGTACAGCAATCTGGGCAAACAACTGGTGGTTCCAGACGCCTCCGTCTGCGCTCTGGGGCCTCGGGAGCCACTCAGTGCCAGTGCCATTTATGCACGCACAAAGCCCAGAACTGCTACGATCAGGTGATGACAGTGAGCTCCAGCCTCGCTTCCCGTATCTGCTTGAGCAGCAACAGGGCCAGCTGCCACTGCATGCCTTTGCCGCAGGCGCTGATCCCAGCGTTGTAGCTGATGACGCTGGCCACCTTCGCTGCAACAATTTCGCTGAGAAGCGACAGCGCTTGCTGCCAATGCCTGCCCTTTCCGAACGCGCCGATCGAATCATGGATCCTGCCTAAGCATTTCACGAGTGGTCGAGACGCGTAGTTGAACACTGGCAGCGCTGTGCTACCAGGCGACAGCATCCTCCATGTCTTTGTCACCACATCGATGTAAGATACCAAGTGCCAGCGTCATCGCCTGAGATCTGGTACCCTGTGAAGTCTCGAGCCAACATTGGTTGGCATGAGCCCTGACTGTTTGAGCCAACATGGCTGAATTCAGCATGGGTATGAATGAGGGGGGAGAAAAAAGTAGCGATGCGAGGGTGAGGAGAAAGGAAGGAGGCTCGATGAGGATGGCGAACAGAGGGAGACACCCAGTAAGTTGAATAGGGGAACAAACTGAGAGGATGAGACGGCGGCGGGCGAGGAACAAGAGCAGGAGGACTGGCGGGGACAAAGGCAAGGGTAGAAAAGGAATACGAAGGGTGAATGATACGGGATAATGGTAAAAGAGTGGAGAAGAGCCGAATGAGGGGACGGGGCTTGCTCCGCACCTCCCACCTCCTCCCCTCCCCTCCGGCTTCTGCCTCAATATCCTGCCCCTCCTCATCCTTCTCATTCTCTTCCCTCTCCCCCTCCTCCTCGTCCTCCTCCTATTCCTTCACCTCGCACCCCTGCTCCTTGTTGCTGCCGCTCTTCCGCATCCTCCTTCTCCCCCTCGCCCTCCTCCTCGTGCTCATCATCCATCCATCCTCCGCCCTTGCAAGCATCATAAAGCGGATTGGCTCTGGACTTGATGGCGGTTTGGGGTTGAGGACTTGTTATAGACCAGGTGTGATCTGAAAACGGTATCGGTGGATGTCTCTTCTTATGTGTACGCGTTTATGCATTACCATGGTCTCGTCTTTGAGGTATTTCTTGTATTGTAGCCATTCGTAGCAGCTGCCATCTGCACAACAAATCGTCGGCAATCAAAGCGGAGCATATCACAAGGAATATCGGCGAACGCGTCCAAAAATGCATTCACAATGGCATCTCCCACCAGGACCAATCTCTATACAGCAGACGAAAAGACCCACACGCATGCCTGCATTCTGAACTCCGGCATGCAAGAGCAAGGACACAATCGGAACGCGACAAATTAAGAGCACATGTCTCAGGCCACGTCACCATATCGATGTGCCGCTCCCCCAAAAAAGGGGGCCAAACACGAAAGCAAATGAGCAGCATGTAGCCAGCAGGAACAAGGAGGCACATATAAAGCACATAGCCAGTGGGGCCAAGAAAACGTCGGGTCCTACGTGCAGCCGCTGCGGCGAACCCTTCTCGAACTGCATTGCCAAAAATCAGCGTGTAGCTTACCGCATTATGTGATGATGAATAAAGGCCTTGGGCAAGAATCTTCTCTATAATATAAAGCTTTGCAAGGAAACGATGTACATAAACGCTGCAGAAAAAGAAGCTAGCCATAAGGGGCCCGACCTGATCGTGCGGTAACAGCTCTGGAAACTCCCTGGTGCGACCACACCTGTGAAGTAAAGCGCAACACACCACCCCGCGAAACCACCGTTAAATATAACACTGAACACACAACAACTCTGGCGAAGCGTTCCCCGGAGGGAGAAGGAGCTAACCAAACTGAGCCATACCGAACAATTAAATAAGGACTGACAAGGTCCCCTCATCAGCTCAACAATGTCCCCCAAACAATGTTTGCACTTATGCAAGGGTGATGACTTGCGTCACTTACGTGATTGGACGGGTATGCCGAGGTCGCGCAGCGTAGCCGCCCTGTGCCGCCACGTGGGCGCTCATTGGCGCCCCGTGCGCTTGGTGGGTCCGTTGAGGTCGCGCCACATTACCACCCGCCGAGGTCGCGCCACATTATCACTCGCTGGCGCCCAATGCGCTGGGTGGGTCCGCCGAGGTCGCGCAACGTTGCCGCCCGTGCCGCCTCGTGGGCTCTCGTGGGAGCCCCGCGCGCTGGATGGGTCCGCCTAGGTCGCGTCTTGTGGCCGCCCGTGCCACCTCGAGAGCTCTCTAGGCGCCCGTGCGTCTTGTGGCCTGGCGCCACGTAGGCCGAGCTTAGACAACATAGCTGACTCCCCATAGCACTTATGCGAGATAGCTTGCACGACGTACGGCCCACCACTTTTTTCCCTTTTTACCAGCGCGAAGAATGGCCAATGGCGGAGGGGGGACAAGCAAGGGGGAGGGAGGAGGGGGAGGAAGGGGGAGGAGGGGGGAGGGTGCGGCGAGCGCGCGGCCCGCTCCCGCGCCTGCGGCGGCGCCGCCAATGCAATTGATTAGCCTGGCGCCTCGGGCGCGCCGGGGCGCGCGGCGAGCCGCGCCAGCAGCGCCGCCCGCCAGTCGACCTCGGCGCCACCGGCGCGGCGGGCCGCGGGCAGCAGCAGCAGGCCCGCCGCGCGCGACGGCAGCGTCTGCACCCAGCCGGCGCACGGCCGGCTCGCCAACCCGCGCCACTGCTTGGCCCATCCGCCGCAGCGGACATCCTGGCCCCTGGGACGCCGCGTGCGGCCGCCAGGCGTGGCCGGCGAACAACGAGCGAACCGCGGTCGCCGGGCGCGGGCGGGGCAGCCGGCGGGGCAGGGGCGGCTGCGCCGCACGCGGCCGCAGGCCTCGCGACGCGGTCCAGCGGGGCCTGCCGGGGCCGCGCGGCGCGCGGCGCCGCCCAGCGACGCCGAACGCGCGGCCCCGCAGCGCCGCGCGGAGCATGGTTGGCCTTTTGAGAGCCGCGAGCTCCACGAACGCCAACACCCTCTGCACCGCAGCCAGCGCGTCGAGCTGCCGCTGCCGCTCCTGGCGCAGTGCGGTCGCAGGCATCCGGCCCTCGGCGGCCAACCCCGCCAGGCGGTCCGCTTCTGCGTTGCCCGCGCGGTCCTCCTCGGCCATCCCGCGTTCGCTCGCCTGGTCTTCGTCGAGGTGCGCCTTGACCCAGCGGGCGCGCAGCACCCCGGTGCGGCAATGCGGGGCGATCGCCTCCCACAAGTCTGCGTGCGCCCAGTCAGCTGGGCTGGCGCCGCCCCGGAGCGCTGCGACCCCGCGGCTGACGAAGCGGGAGTCAGTGACCACCTTCACGCAGCCACCCGCCAAGTGCAGCGCCTGCACGCAAGCCCAGACCTCTGCGCGCTGGGCGGTTTGCGCTCCATCGGCGGGGCCATGGCGGTCCACGTGGCCCCCGGCGCCGCCCTCGAGGTGGACGCCCCAGCCAGCTCTGGCGAGGAGGGGGTCGCCCGGGCGCACGCAGGAGCCGTCCGTCCAGGCGCGTGGCCTGCGCTGTGGCGCAGCCGGGAGGCTGGCCAGCGGGTCGGGGAGCGCGGGCAGCGGCAAGGGCAGCCGGGCCTCCTCCGCGAGGACTGCCAAGCGAGGGTACCGGTGCAAGACGCCCGTGCGCGCTGCCTCGGGAGGCAGGCAGGCGCGGGCGGCCTCCGCAGTGAAGCCCTCTGGCTGCAACGCCGCTCGGCGCTGGGGCTCCCAGCACGGGCAGATCCACATGCGGTGCTCGAGATCCTCCACAGGCGCGCCGCAGTGCGGGCAAGCTGCCGGCCGCCCCCACTTCGCTGCAACGGACTCGGTGATCACGTTGCCCGCGAACACCGCGCGCAACGCCCCCGCGGCGTCTGTAGCCAGCGAGCCGCTGGTCAGGAGCCGCCTCGTGCCCAGCGGTCGACGCCAACGTCGACGTGCCGGAAGTCAGCGCGCCTGCTGGCCAGCCGCTGGGCCTCGCGCTTGGACCAGGCCTCCAGTAGCACCGATCGCGTGTCAGGGGCATCGATCTGGGCGGGGCGCCAACCCCCGGGCGCGGCCGGCACGCCAGTCCAACGCTCGATGTCGGACCCGAGCTGCAGCTCTGGCAAGCTCTGGAGCGCGGCCGCGACCGGCCCGGCGCCGCGGCCGTGCCCAGCGGCCAGGGCCCCAGCGGTCTGCCTCCACAGCTCGGCGGGAAACCGGCCGTGCCGGAGGCATTCCGCAGCCTGCCACAGCGGCGCGATCATCACCACCGCCGCCAGGTCCAGCCTCCAGCTCGGGGCAAGGACGCCGAAAACGATTTCGGCGGCAGCGCGCAGCCCCCCCGCGGCAGACCGCCCGGCGCGCAGTCGTGCGGAGGCCAGCGAGCTCATTCGCCGGCGGCCGGCCGCAGGCAGCTCCATATAGCCCAGCCGCAGTGCCGGCCGCCGCGCCCAGCAGGCACCGCTGGCCGAACCCAACGGGCAAGCGCCCGAGCCGCCCGAAACGGCCCTGCGCGCCGCGGAGCCGCGCGGCCGAGACGGCGCAACGGCGGCCACAGCCGGCGTTGGCGACGACCCCCAGGTCACGAAAGTCCGGGCTCGCCCGTATGCTGGGCGTCTGCGCCGCGAGCCATTTCCGAAGGGCCTGGCTGCCCGCGAAGTGCCGGCGCTTTCGGCGGTTGAGCTGCCAGTCCATCGCCTGCTTGAAGGCCTCCGTGACGCGGAGCGCCGGCTGCGCCTCCTCGGCCGCATCCGCACCGTGGCCGGCCGCGACCCGCTCCCAGATGGTGAAGTAGTCGACGTACACGCGTCTGCGGAGATGGTCGCTGATAGCACCCGTGCGGCGCACCCACGGGTAAGTGAGCACAGCCAGGACGAACACCGCCAGAGGGCAGCCCGGTAGCAACCCGCGCGTGGGCAGCCACGGGTCGCCGAGCGCCTGCCCAACCCTGACCCTGCGGCGCGCCGTGTAGGCGCTCAGCGCTGGCTTCCGGATCCACGCAGGACTGCCAGCGCGCTCGAGGATGTCTGGCAGCGTGCGGAGGTCGACGTTGTCATAAGCCTTCGACCAGTCCAGCGCTTCCCCGGCGATCTCCTCGGACAGCGCGTCCGCCGCCTCCCGCTCCAGGGCGAGCTCCCACGCCTGCTCTTCTGCGTCGCGACGCCACTCGCTGCCGTCCCACGAGGCGCGCCACTGCGAGAACGAGCGCGCGCGCCCTGCCGCCCAGAGGCGATACAGGATCGGCAACAACCAAATGGGCTGTCGCTCCAATGGCCCGTCGCCCCTGGCTTCGGCAACAGCAGCCCCTGGT